TATTTAAAATGCGACTATAAAAATCACTTTATTTTTCTGTCACGTTTCACTCGCACCTAACTCAGATAAAGTAAAAGTAGATGAAAGAAACGATATGCGAATTTATTGTTTTAAAGCTTAGAGAATATATTTAATTTTTATTTTTTCCTGTGTGCTATTCTGTTTTAGTTGCATTGGTAATAAAACTAGATGTGCAGGTGTTACCCCTCAGAGTTAAGATACTGATTAGTGTTCCTGCAGGTGTTCTTTAAGTTTTCTGATCATACAAGATCAGCATAACCAATGAGATTCGCATAATGTTTTAATTTTTGTTCTTAATTTTAAAAGAAAATAAATCAGACATCTAAATATTAATTATACTTATTACGATGGTTAATGTGATGAATTTTTATGTTGTGAATTTACATGAGGATTCATATTATTTTTATAAGTATATAATTATTCATTTGAAATCATTTCAAAAGCATATAATTATTTATTTAAAAGTAGATGATGTATTGTATCTAAGGGGGAAAAAAATGTTCTCCTTTAGGAGATTTGACTAATCATTTTCAAGTTAACTTTTGATTTTACAAATTTCAATACTTTCATGCAAAAATAGGAAGCTAGATTTCATATATTCCATTTTTTTTTCTTTTTCCTCTCTCTGAATAATCATAAATTATTAGGGATACATAAGCTTAACTATGATACACATTTATGGATTTTATATGGCATAAAATATCAAGTGAAATGAAAAAAAATGAAAAAGATTATCTATAATTGTTATATTTAAATAAAATAGACAGAATCCATTAAATGTTCGGTTTGATCAGAATATGGCTTTCCAATTAGTACATTAGAATTTTGAATCGCATTTATAATGAATCTTTAAATACTGAAAGTGCAAAAGTAGGTATAAAGTTGTGAATTTGAGAAATACAAATGTTTGGTATTCATTACTTTTATTATTTGAATTGTAATTTAATGTAATGTAATGTAATTTATGCATAAAAATAAATGATTTTTCTTCTATGTCTTTCTTACATGTTTTTTTTTTCTCTAACAACAACTGTATACTTACTTTTGCATCCCTGTGTATTTTCATAAATGCTATTCATTTCTTCCTTAAATTTATAAAATTCACTTCTGAAAAGAAATAATTCTTAAAATTTTAAACCAATTTATAATTTTTCGAATGTTTTTTTTTTAATAGACAATAAAACTTTACAATAATAGATGGATTATTTCCATCAATTTTTGTGAATATTCTAATATTTTTTAAAAGATTTTATTCTGGACAGAACTACGTTACAAAGTATATTCATACCTGCTCAATTATAGCATGTTTGATCAATTATTTTCTATTATATGAGTATGATTCGGAATAGCACTTGATACTTTCAAATTTAATTTGAATTTCATAAAATCTTTAGAAGTTAGTTCAAGAAAATATGTTCTTGAAAGGTGGATTTAAAGCTTTCAACAACATATTTTCTACTTCGTTATGGATAAATGGAAATATGCCTGTCTTATGAAGGATTTATTCTGAATATGATAAACATAAGTAATTGAAATATGTGATCTTACACCCACGATCACGGAACGCTTTGTCTGTCTTTTTGTATCATTGCAATACTGTATTCTATGGTCTACTTGTGAAAAAAAAATCATCCCTAAAAATTATATAATTAAATAAAAATTTATTTATGTAATTATTTGTCTCCAAGGTTCCCCCCTGGAAAATTTTCTGCGAATTTTCTGCCATTCAAATAAAGCAAACTAATTTATAATTTATATTGCTAAAATACCATAAAGTTCATAGGCAGATGAAGCTTGCTCCTATATGAAGAAAACGATTGTTAAAGTAAAGAGCAAAATAATTACAATAGTTGCGATAGACATATTAAGTTAAAACGATTTTATCTAACATGACCGGCTCTGACCTAAGCAGACTGGTCTATAGCCGGTTTACAACAATCAGGAACAAAAGATTTGTGAAATCAGATCAAGTTGACATCGACCCTGTGAAGGTCGAATTTTCAAATTTAATTTTGTAAAGGGGAAAAATTACTTAATGTTATTAAGAGAGCTGAATACTATTTCAACACTATGCCAAAATTAATTAATGAAAGTCACGCTTTCCGTTTCTTGTACGGTTGTACGCATGGATGCCTTATCAGTGGCCTTTCGAAACCGTTACAAATAATTCTGCATATATTTCACATATATTACATATATTAATTTAAAAAAAAAATGTGTTAATAAAATATTAAAACGCTAATGCTTTAAATTATGTTTCAGAAAATAAACAATGAAAATTTATAATTCACTTTCGGATAAAATTACTTTAACTAACAGAAATTAACTTAGAACTTTTAACCATACTTTTAAACAGCTACTACAATAAAAAAAGTATGATTCATTAAAAATTAAACTGTATTTTACCTTATTAAGTGGTTTTAATAACCACTTAATAAGGTTAAATTCTTTAAAAAAAGAGAGAAAACTTTTAATATAATAACTTATATCGAATGTTTTTTCGTGTTAAATGTAAGTTCAATTCAATTGTAATTGTAATCCCTTTTCATTTTTCCCCCTTTTCTTTTTGTTATGATCTGATCAGACTCGTTTCAAGATGAAGAAACTTTCCTTTTTAAAAAGGGAAATTCCTTTAGACCTATAGTGAGGTATAGCAAAATTAACCTTCTAAATTATCTATCGTAAAAAAAATTGCTTTAGTGCTTAAGTAGTCATTTAACATCTTTCTTTCTTTTACTCTTTCCAAAGGAAAAAGGCCCTCTTAGCGCCCTATGGGCAATAAGAGGTGTTTTTTATCATATACTAGATGATGAGGGACGGGGCCCGACATATTCGAACCGAACCAACCACGAAAAATTTCTGGGAATTTCGACCGCGGGATTCTATCCTGGGGCCTTCCAGAGAGGTAGAAACTTATATATATATATATNATCAATCAATGTGATAGCTATATAATTCCTATAGAATTATAAAATATATATTAGGTTTAAAACTTATAACATTATAATTAGTGATGTGCCGGATATCCGTGAGAAAAAAAAAAGATCCGTATCCGTTACTTTTTAGCGGATCTTTAACGGATCTTTTATCTTAATGAATTTCATTACTTATATGAAATTTTAAAGATAGGTAGCAATAAAATACTAATAACTTCAATTCAAATTACTTTTTATTTCTTAAAATCACATATTTTGCACATTCATATTACAAAAATTTTATCTTGAAAAATTCATTTACTATCGTAAAATATTTCCATATTACACTACTAAACTTTTTTGTCGACATTGTTTTTATTTTAACTCAACACTCTCCAAAAATACAAACGCAATCTACGCTATTCCGTGTCACACTAAACTATAAACAAAAACACGCGCAGTGCAAGTCAAAACACGTCGCGTTACTAACGCAAAGCGTAAACTATCATGTCCAAGGTCACACGCACTGGCGCCGACTGAGAACGAAAGTTGAGATCCGTATCCGTGGATCTAGACACTAATGATCCGTATCTGTATCCGTATCCGCGGATATACATTTTTAACGATCCGGCACATCACTAATTATAATTAGATTTTTATCTTTTGGTACAGCTAAAAATGAATTAGAAGTTACAAATTAAACACGCAAATTAAAAATATTTAATTCCTTGATTAAATTTTGTTAAAAATGCAAAGAATATAGGAATATAATGAATGATTTTTTTAACAGAAAAATTTGATAAATATATGAAAGTACTGTAAATTCTAATTCATCTTCAGCACAAATACATGGAAACTTGTCTTAAGAATTTATCATCATCATTGTACAATATTTGTTGAGAATTCTGTCATGTTCCAACAGAAGCAAGTGCAAGAGTATCTGAATCAAGAAAAAATTTAGGCACCCCAACAGTAGTACCTTATAGCTTCATGGGACCAAGGCAAATTTGAATTAGGGGGTCCCCTGTACAGTATTAACATCAGACATTATTCTTTGGGGGAATTTTTCAGAGAAATACCTTCTTTTTTTTCATATAAAAGATGCCTTCTGTTTGTGGCAGCTCCAGACAACTGCCCTTTTCGCCCATAGGATAACGTGTCACTGCACCCCTATATATTGTGTGTATCCTTTTAGTATCTAAAATGATTTTAAGAAATGTATAATTTATTTCTTTTTCTTCTAACTTTGAATTATTTTTATGTAAATTTACATATTACATATTATAAAATTCAATGTCAAAATTGACATTTGAATGTAACAGGTCTGATAGACTTTCCTGATTGGTCGCAAACGTGATAATTCCCCCCCCCCATATGTCAGACAGACGGCTTGGCGACATAATATCCACGTGTCTTAACTCTTTAACTTCTTATCTTTAACTTTACTAATTTTATACACAATTTGTTCAACATAAAATGCGTAAATATCCTCATCTATCTTTCTTATCGTCCTTTTCATCATAATTATCATATTGAATTTGATAAGTGTTGAATGCAACTCGTAATCCTGTTCGCCAGTCAAACTTGGTCATTGACCTAGGCGTAATATTAACCACCAATAGCATTTGTTCTGTGTTTTATCATCCAATAGAAACATGGAGCGGTGTCTAAGGAATATTTTGCTCCTCTATGAATCCTATATATTTTTGTAAAGCGTTTCTCAAACTTTGTCTGACACGATTCAATAGGAAAAGTATCTCATCTTGTAGGTATGTTCACTTAAATATTATCAATTTTTGTTATTTTATTTGTTTTAATCATATAAAATTTTACCATAAAATTCAGAAAGATATTTTATATTTGTTTTGTATAATACTCATATTATTATCTTTAAAAGGTGATATTAAAAAATTAATTTATCCTAATTACAGCTAACATTTTGTAGTAATTTCTAACTTACTATAGACGTTCTGTTATGAATTCTATTAATTTGTATTCATTATTTACATCGGTTTTTTTTTGTATTATTATCACATTTACATTATCTCTTACTAGGTGAAGAAGATGCGCGTTACAACTTTATCCACTATCTTGGTGACACTGATTTTATATCATGAAGTTTTCGCAGAAACCCAATCGCCGTATAAGCATTTAGTCGAAGCGAATTTAGATTTCTGTTTACAAGTTTACAAAGAACTAGTTAAAAAGAATGGTTATCAAAACAATGTTGTATTTTCTCCATTCAGTATTTATTCTGTATTATTAATGACAGAGTTGGGATCTGGAAGTTATACTACACAAGAAATCTGTCAAATTCTTCACATCTGCCATGTAAATATCACTCAAATACACCAAGCTTTTGGTCAAATAATTAATGAATTGCTATCGGATCGGTCCGTGCGGGAATCTTTAGCTGTTGCCAATAAACTGTATATTCAAAAAGGACTGGAAATATCAAAATTTTACCAGATGGCCTTGAAATATTATTACAACACTACCGTTAAAGAAGTGGATTTCCAGAACGACGCCCACGGTGCCAGAGAAATAATCAATAATTGGGTTCACGAACAAACTTCTGGGCAGATTTTACATTTTTTACCCAAACTATTACCTCAGACCACTCAAATAATGACAGTTAATGCATTATATTTCAATTCCGAGTGGCTTTGGAAATTTGATCCCGCTATGACGGAACCCAAAGCGCGTTTCTACGTTACTCCCCATTTTCATGCAAGTGTGCCCATGATGGTTGCAAAATTACATCTGGCTCACGGACATAGTCCAGGAATGGAAGCTAGCATCTTGGAATTACCATTTAAATCGAATCGAATCAGTTTATTTTTGGTTCTGCCCGATCAATTAGAGGGTCTGCTTAATCTTCAGAAAAAATTAAATTCTACTACTATGAAACAGCTTATATCTACCATGAAAAAGAAAGACGTTAACGTAAGAGTACCCAAATTTACTGTCGAGTCTCAACCTTCTATCGCTAATGTATTAAGAAATTTAGGAGTAAATAGTTTATTTTCGCCCTCTTCGGCCGATTTAAGAGGTATAACACCGCACCATCAATTGCATATGACTGATATGATGCATCGGGTTGTTATACAATTAGAAGAAAGAGGAAGCATAGCAACTGCAGCTACGGCTATGATAGTAGAAAGAATAGGATCGTTCAACGGACAATTTTTTGAAGCCGATCATCCATTCCTATTCTTTATCATGGATAAACAATCTGGTTTAGTATTATTTATGGGCAGAATAGCCGGACCTTGATATAAGTTTTAATTAGGACGTGTTTTAAAAATGAAAAAAATAATTCATATAATCTGGAAATTTTTCTGTAATAAAAGAAACATGTTTAAAATATAAAACTGTGTAGTTGGCTCAAAAATCAGAAAATAATCTCCTCTAAACGGTCTATGTTAGGTAAGATATTTAGAAACTATGTAGTCAACTTATATCACGCTGTGACGCGACGACTGCGCGACGCGAAACTGTCACACAAATCATTAAAACTACTTGATTTTCATGACCAGCAGACTTCCCCCTTGAAATAATATTACGTAACATATATATATAATCGACAGAAACAACATTTTTGGAATATTTTAACAGTAAAATATTGAATAAGAAAGCTATTAATCACTCATATTAGAATAGTTCTTTTTTTTTAGATAAAGTAAANTTATTATCAATCAAACATCAAAAATTTTATTAAATATATATAAACTATTAGTAAATAAGTAAAATTCTATTTACCTTCACTTTTATCATTATGTACAAATGGATGTGCTATTCCTATTGTTCTTTGATTGAAACTGCTTTTTATATTTGAGTTCTTTTCAAGAGTTTTAAAATTATTGAAATCATTTGAATACAGTGGATTTAAGTTTTTCTTCATAGAATATGCACTAGCCAAAATATCTGAGTTCTTTATCATCTTTCCAACATCAGAATCTTTGCAAAATTTTTTATTTAGAATTATCAATTGATTAATGTTATTAATACTACAAGTAGAAAGATATGAATCATTTTTCTTTTCTTGTTCAACTTCTTGATTAAATTTATGTTTTTTAAGTGGTGGTTCTATTTCATTTTTTCGTATTACTTTGCTATGCTTTCCAAAATATGAAATGTCATATCTACTAAATTCAGGCTTTTTTGAATTGTTTATTTCTTCATGTGATTCATCATCTAATGAATAACGCTTAAATTCTAAAGTGTAATCCTCGGGACTTTTATCAAAATTGAATAAAGAGTTCATTTCTAAATTTGTATCAAAGCTTGATTTGCTCAGTATATCAATAGCTGTATCTGAAGAGTGATTTAAGGAAGGTGATAACATCTCATTATTCTCATTTTTAGATTCCAAAGATGTGGATAAAAGACCAGATTCATTCAAAACAGCCGGCTGACTAGCTAAATGATAAAATAACTAAAAATAAAACAATAAAATCAATTAAAATTAAACAAATTTTAAATATTCATTTCAATTTTACCTTTAATACTTTGTCAGGAATTTTATTAAACTGGGATTTAAGTTCAGTCCAAGTCAATGTTAACAATTCATTCAATGACAAGCATGATAACATTTCTTGAGCACTAACAATAAACAAACATTCAATTTTCTGATATAATTTCATATTCCAAAAAAAAAAAAATATATATATATATATATTGTAAATATATTTATGTGTATATTAGGGTGGAGCTTATTTTCACAATTCTGTAAATGTGAACCTTCTACCCTCTATTTCTGTTCTATTTCTATATATAGAAAACATTTGTGCCAAAAACCTACTCCATTGGTAAATATTTACTGGTAGTTCAATGTCACTGAAGTTTTATAGGTTCCAAATGGTAAGGATGAGCATATGGCAATCACAAGCTTCAACCACAATGTATCCATTTTAGTACAACGGTTTGTAAAACTGGAGTTGGTCATCTCAATAAATAAACAATTAAATTAACCACTCAGCAGTGAGCGATGAATATATTTGTCAAGGGCGAATGTGTGGCAGTGGTGAGGGATGTATATATACATCAAATTCTTTTGGGGGTAGCGCCAAAAACTACTGCAAAAAAAAATTCACATAAAAAATGAATTATGTAACAATAAAAAAAAGACTTTTCTTTACTAGATATAACTGTTTACAAAATCTTTTTCTGAAACAGTAATGAGAAAAAACACGTGTAAAAATACTCTAAAAATTTCGCATGTTTATTCTCCACTACTAAGGGGTAGCACCATATCTGACTATTCCACTGTTGAAAGGTTAATCACACAAGACATTCCCACAGAATTAATTTCTGTCATAATTCATGATCTTTATTTTGCTGACATCATTAAGTCTTGCTGCAAATGTTTTTCCCTGTTTCTGGTTGAGGCTGACTCAATGACTCATACTTACATCAACACCTATTGGCTATTTGGCTTGTATGGACAAGTTCAGGCACATTGCTGAAAAACTGCTGATATCATCAGATGCATAGACTATATAATCCAGAAACTGCTCAAGCAAATCACATAATATGTTTTTGTTCATTTCGGCAAAGTTATTAAATAATAAATATGGTGGCAGCAGCAATTAGATCTATAACTGAAGTGTACCTCCTTGGTTTGATGGTAACTGAATTAACTGGCAACAAGTTACCATCCTTACTTCAAGCTCTTGGTTTGTTTTTACATCACCATCTTCAACTGAAACGAACTATCAGATAGTCATCAGCTGTTACAGTTGAAAAGCTGGCAATATTTTATAAAATAGCAAGGATCCCAATGATAGAGTCAAGAAACTTCATAACTAAACTAGAACAAACATTTGAAGAATGGCGTTTGCTAAAGAAAAATAAGGGGCGACAATCTGTAACACAGCAAACAAATGAGGCTAAATTTGTTAGTAAACTAGATGAACTTTTTGACATTTCTCATCTTAGAGCAGTCGAAATGATAAAAATTCCAGAGGATCATGAGTTCTTGTTAGCTCAGCGTGAGAAAGGACGTAAAGGGTCAATAGTAGGTGTGGATGCAAAATTAGCTGCGAAGGAGAAATGATCAGCACAAAGACAGGAACAGATACTTAACAGAAAATGTAGAATGGAAGACTTGAAGAGAAATGGTGAAGAAATAGCAGCCCTAATATCCTCAAGCAGCAGCACAAATACTGAAGAAGAAGATGCAAGCTGGAAAGGAGACAGAGTAAGAGAGCAGTTGGAGGCAGATTATCCAGGCAGCAAGAAAGAGAGACACTCTGCCTCTACCAAAATAAACTGATAAAGTTATATTGAACGTAATACTGAAAATTTCAAATTTTGTGAATTGTGATGTTTAAAAATTTTTTCGTTTGTAATCCATCAAATTTTTCAATATTGTAGAGTCTACATGACTAATTTGTCTGTAATTATCCAAAAGTGAAACAAGTCTGGTTTACCAAAACAGATCTTGTATGTTTTCATTTGTCATAAATCACTCTTTTTATAAACTTTGTGGTCATTAAGCTACCTCTAAATATTAATATATCAAGTTCAAATTTCTTCTGTAGTAATTTGAGACCATTTGGAATAGTTCTGGAGGGTAGGACCACAAAAAAGTAAGCAATTTATTTTTTAAGTAAGCTATTTTAAGCACCACCCTAGTGTGTATATAGTATATATATTTCATTTAGATTCTCGTAAGAAAATAATCAAATTAATCTTAAAAAATATATTGAAAAAAATTTCATTTATAGTTAAAAATTAAGTTTAAAGAAAACAATATAATTAATTTTAAAATACTATATTATTAACTCTAAAGTGTTTAAAATCATAGTTTAATTAACATTGAAGTACAGAGACATTAAATACTGTATTATTAATGTATCTGTCTGTGTATATATTTATTTTATTGCTGTAAATATAAAAATGTTTAATATATACAGAAAAAACATAATACAGTACAAGTTTATGAGTCTGGTATCTATGGACCAGAGTGATGCTGAATTATCAAAATATTGGATTACTGTATGTTTTGTTGCAAAAATTAGCTTGTGTGTGATCTGAAAATATTGCAGGCATTGCTGTATATTTTGTACCAGTGCATGTTGTCTGCCTCCGATTTGTTTATGCATGCTCTTTAATCAGTCTTAACATGATACAATATACTGTATGACAACACTGTGTTAAGACTGATTGAAAGATCTACAAAAACAACAAGTAATTATTTATTGTGAAATCATCACAATGCTGGGCTGCAATTTTTAATAATATTTTTAAAATTTATTTAATTTAAAATATATGCTTGCCACCTCAAATTAGTAGTGTTTTGCCTCTGCACATCATACTTTCCTGCTAGAAGAAGAATTGTGTCGCTCTACTAACTCCTTTCAGGGGAAAATGTTTTAATTGAAATCACATGACTTCTGGTGCAAACTAGAAGTTTGTATATAGTTAAAATCAGTACCTCCTGTCCCTAAGCTTTCTGTATCTATCATCTATCTAACTCCATTCTCGAGATTAAGGAAAGTCAGATGAACAAACAGACGGATGACAGCGGCAATTTATAAATACAATTTTTTCAAATTGTAGCCCAATACTATTACCCAATAATAAACCCATTATTGTATAAAATCAACATTCATAATGATTTATGTGCATATAATATTTATTTTTCAGACATGTACTGTATTTTACACATACAATTCACAAAAGCTATACGTTTGGAATATTAACATGTTGATCTGGAATACTGATCAGATATTCTGGATTATCAGGTGCCAGATTAACAAACTTCTGAAGTATTAAACTTTGCCAAGTGATTCCATTGTATTTTAATTTTTGTCTATTAAGATTTGTAAAGTACTCTTCTTCAGATACATTTCTGTTGGATTTATTTTGTATTCTACAAAATCTACACACTTGAATATGTTGGACTTTGATGAGGTCATAGAGAATGTCATTGAGAATGCACTTTATAACAAGATTGTGAAACAATCATGTGATTTTTGAGATAGGATGACTTGTCCTATTCAGCACCAATCAGAGAACAAAACCAAGGATTGCCTCTAAGTATTCACTTAGTTCAGAGCTTATATTTTATTATGTCCAGGAGCCCATTTTCAGAGTCTACTTCTTTCACTCAGCTCTTATAATAATTAAAAAACAGTAGTGCAAAGGTGCTAAAGATGTCAGCTTGTTTTTCTTAATGATCTGGAATACAGGTAGAATTTACAGAAGTTTACAGAAGGTTTCATGGGTGTTTTGACTCTGATACATTGAGACTGAACCCTTACCACCAGACTAATTAAGAAATTGCTATCTATTTCATATAATCTTTTTATATATATGTATATATAAAAAAAATATATACCTTCTCGAGAGAGAGAGATGAGAAACACTTTCTCCCTTTCTACTTTGCAAGTTTAATTGAGAATAACAGAGGAAATTATAACTATCATTGTCACACTGCTCATTTTCTGATGAAATTCAAAAAGACTTACACAATCTTCATATGTAATATGCCTTTCCTTTCAGAAACTAAATACAGTAGAGCGTCGTTTATCCGAATGTCGGTTATCCGAAACGTTGGTTAACCGAAAGCACTCCAGTTGGCAAATTTAAAATTTCACTAGTGCTGTGGCACTGCAATTTTTGGCTATATCTTGGGCTACTCCAATATTTTTTTGTTGGTGTGTGTGTGTGTGTTTTAGCTGGCAGCACTGGCACTTTTGTGTGGTGTTTTTCTGAGACTGTGTGTCTTGCTGAATCGAACGTTTTTGATACTAGATAAACTTCTAAAGTATATTTTTTTGTTTTTATATTTTTTAATATATTTATTTTGTTTGTAAAAAATAAAGAAATAATTTTTAACGATACAATAGCACCGATTATTATTTTAAAAAGTTTACGTTAGGCTTAACATCGATGAAAATTCAACATAAAGCCACATGCAACGGAGAAAAATTTCAACATGGGATAGGTTAACATATTTTTTTGCATATAATCCATTATCCAAAAAATAAGTTATCCGAACTACCTCAGTCCCCAATTGATTCGGATAAACGACGCTCTACTGTAGTAATAAAGAATTAGCTTTATATCTAAGTGCTAAAAACAATCTAGACAAAACAAAATATGCAATACTTTCAGCATTAGGAATGCTGAAAGTATTGCATATTTTGTTTCCCCTTATTCCTCTAAGCACATATACTGTATACAAGATACATAATTTATGCCTGTAACTTTTAATTATCATTAGAGAATAAAATAAAAATTTTGTCAATTTGCACTTACAACTGGCAATCAGCCCATAGAATTTACATGGAGAAATTTGACCTTAAATATCTCAGCCCCTAGATCGAATTTTAAAATTCTAACTTGTCATGACATCAGCCTTGCCCAGTTGTACATATTTGAAAAAATATCATGTTTAATGGTTGAGGTTGAACTTCAATCACAGACAAAACACTTTCTTATGAAGAGCTCCAGTGAATAGGATAGAGGATTCTTCCTGGCAACCTAGGATATTTGCCATCTTGATATGGAAGTATTCTGCTATAATGTTATGGTTAAGAGTAAGACCAGTTAATTTCAAAACAATAAAGAAGAAATGTTCTGAGTCATGTGACTTTGGCTCCTTGATGTATTGTTTTTTGTTAAGTAACAGTTCCCAGTATACTAGTTCTCTTTTTCCTATACTTTCTATCAATTATCCATTTCAACTTTGTTTTTAGTTTTAAGTCAAGATATAGGGTAAAGTAGTTAATAATTTTCTAATTGATTATTCTGGGGCCCCTCTCTTCGTATATTGTACTTTGGGAATTTCTGTAGCTCACATGTATGGCCCAACTTTGTGATACAAGACCTTGTTTTAACAGCAACATCAAACAGTATTGAATGTGGATGTTTGATTGGGTAGATTACCTCCTTTCTTGTAAGTGATATATAATTCTGGTTCTTTTTTGTTAGTAAATTTTTCTGTTATTACGAACACTTGATCTTATGGTGTAATTCTTTTGAATTATGTTTTGGTTGATAATGCACCTAAATCTCAGACAAATAAATTAGAATTTTAGATATCCAGGTAAAAATTTACAATGTCCAAACTAGTAAAGGGCAGAATGGTATCTGAAATTCTGGATTTTCCATGCACTGTTTAATTAATATAAATACTTTAAAAAGTATAGAAAGATTCAACAGTTCCGTTATTGTGCATTATAAATTTCATAAATGTTCAATATATAAAACAGATGTTAAAGTTATGGTTAAATAATATATAATCCATGATTCTTTTATAAGTAAATTCAGTACTTTGAAACAGGAAATTGATGATCTACAGCATGCTTTGTTATTCAAACAGTAATTCCCTCAAAAAACGATGTCAAAAGATAAGAATTTTTTTCCCACTTCTACATAGACATGTGCAGAATTTTAAGAAATTCATAGAAAAAAAACTGTTATTATCTAAATACCAAATTAATAATTATAACAAACAGATGTCCAGATGGCCAGTGGTTAATTTGGCAGCATACCACTCTGGGGACTCTGGATCAAATCTGGATTGGTCAAAAAACCCATGAATTTTTTGGGGTAGTCCATCCTGGATATGTTCAGTCATATCCTTCCATTGTGGACCTGGCCAAACCCATAATGGACTTGCTAAGGAGGTCCTCTTAGTGCCCAAAGGACAGAGTTACCAAAAGAAAGAAAAAAAAACATAAAAAACCTAAAATACAACCACTCAAAAACTGGGTAAACTTGATACAAAGCTACAAAAATCCAAATAACCAGTAAAAAAATTGGGAAGTGCTAACATTTTCACCTGTGTTGAACAGGCATCCTCAGGCTAACTAATCCTGCAGCTGTTGAAACAATGGGGTATTGCTGTATATGTGTGAAAAAGGGGACAATGTAAGGAGAGAGGGAGGGAGAAAGGAAAGTAAGTTTACAGTTTGAAGAATGACTTCTATGCTGTGGGGAAGTCTACATCGTAAAAGTTAATAGCAGTATTTTTGCAGGTGGCCTTATAAATTTTAACTTGCTCTAGATGTCTAGATGTTTGAGAAATGGTTGTCAGGAAGATCTATGTATGAAGTGTGCACAGTCAAAATCCACACTGATGGCAGAGGTCAGATGCAAAGATAGCTAGCACAATGCTGGCTGATCCTTTCAGGATGGAATTCTGATGTTCTTTAGGTGGGTGTTTAAAGGGCACATTGTAACATCTCTGTATTCTAAGTTGCGGTTCAATCTGCAATCAGTAATGGGGCTAATGTAGATGCCTGGTTGGAGGTGCATGTCAGGATGGTCTTTAGCATTGTAGGAGGTTGAAAACTGAGGGACTTCTACAAAAGACTAAATGAAAATTATTGTTCCTGTAATTGCAAAAATAACATTATTAACTTTTGCAATGTAGACTCTTTCCTCACAGCATGGAAGCATTTCTTCAAACTGTAAACTTACTTTCCTCTCCCCCTCTCTCCTTCTTACATCACCCCCTTTTTTCACACATGTACAGCAATTTCAACAGCTGCAATATTAGTTAAAACTTCCCTAATCTTTTGCTAGTTATTTGGTTTTTTTGTAGCTTTGCATTAAAAAAAACCTAATTAAACTACCAATCACAATTGATCTTCTCTCCCTTAATTATATATATCTCTCCAGTTTTTAGTAAGCTCATATCTATATAAAAAATCTATGCTAAGCAAAATTAAACAAGAAGTACAGTTATATTCCTTGTTTAAGAGCCACTTCCAAATAATTAGTAACTTCTCAGAGTCTCTGCCATCAATTACTTAATTTTTCAAACTCCTTTCATACATATCTATGCTTTCTCAGCAATTTCCAAAATTTCTCTTTTTTCTTATCTCTTTCAACTTTCCATTGTATTTTCTTTCTTAACATTTTCCTAATTCAGAATAGTAGTAATTTTTCCTATACTAGACTATATAAAGAGACTAGGAGATATAGCAGAATAGTTCTGCTATATCTCCTAGTCTCTTTCTGATTTCTGTATGGACTTTATCCCTCCCTTTATCATCCCTTAATGGTATCACATAAACTCCTGCTTTGTCAAAGTCTTTTCTCTTTCCTTTGTCATTTTTGACCAAATCAAAAAACTACAATTCTTTTGAAGACAATTTTTCTTTTCCACTTTTCTCTAACTTTTTATAAAGGTTTTTCTTTCAACTGCCTGCATAATGCAAACACATCATTTCATCCTTTTCTTCCTTGTACCAGTATGTCTTATCACTTTCTTCTTTCTTTTAATCCTCTTCATTAGTCAATCAAACAGCCTTTTTGTAATCCTATAGTTGTGGACATGTGTTTAGTGTAGTTATTAATTTGGTGATTTGATCTTTAGATAACAAATTTTTTCCACAAACTTGAAATGCATGTATTTAGAAGCGGGGAAATTTTTTCAGTAGGGGACAGAGTAGTTAGCTGGTCAACTGTCAACTATTTTGTTTTAGTTTAATCATTTGACCTAATGATGTAAGTGACCAGCTACTAATGATTTTGGTTAAGTGGTGAGAAATTCTGATAATGTGCTTGATTAGTTGAAAATGCTAAGAATAAGATAGTTGATTTAAATATGTGCATGAAGCAAACAAAATTTGGACTTTATTAATAAAATTGGAGTTTTTTCATTATATCAAAACTAAAAAAAAAATTAAACTACAGTTAAGAATTAACATTTATTAAATTAATAATTATTAATGTTTATTTTCAACTTACCAATACGAATTCATGCATGGTAATGATAATAAAAATTCTTCCTCCTATTTTAGAAAATTTAAATCATGAATTAACATATTAGAAATAATAAAAATACAAATTTGTAATAAATTACACAAACTTTAGTCATAACTGGAGAAAACCAAGAAGGATTTAATATATTGTCTTCAGAAGTTGTTTTTGTAAGCGTTTGTTCGCATATTTGGAAAATTAATTTGGCCACTTCATTAATGTCGTGAGCCTGAAGTATCTAAAATAGAAATGTTTATTTATTTATTTTTTTAATTTTTACTATAAATTAAACAAAGCATGATAAAGGATAAAAAGTTTAAAAAACATTGACAAAATTCAACTTTTAAGATTGGATTTTGGTTAGATAACTTAAATTAAATATGTGTTACATGGAACTTAAACTTCCATATTAAATTAAATATTCTAACAGTATTAACTGTATTAAATTTATTAAAAATTGAAATATTTATTAATTAAGTTTTAATAATATTTAATAATAAAATAATATTGAAATGTAAGAAATTTTGATTTAAATAATTTTTAAAAACTTGCCTCTAATTTAAATCCATTTGTGTTTCTCAGTGATAAAATCTTGCAAATGTGACGCATGGTTCTAATTGAAAAAAATTCTTTAGAATTATGTCTTCAAATATATAAAATATCACAAGGAATTAAACTAAGTATTTTGAAATACTTATTCGTCTCCATACACCGGAATGTACTAAAAATAACTCTTACTATTAACCTTGTAACCGGAGTGTTGTGTAATACGTCAGTGAACGTTTTTGACGCTCCTTCTGGGCTCTTCCTTAGGCTCAAAAGAAAGTATTCGATTTTTCAAAGTCCAGCTCAGTATTTATAGAAAAAGCCTGAGGAAGAGCCCAGAAGGGATGTCGAAAACGTTTGCTGAAGTATTACACAACACTCCGGTTACAAGGTTAATAGTAAGAGTTATATTTTGAAATAACTTTTAACTTTGGAATTTTTTAAAAGCAATACACCCAATTGTTTTTACAAGTAGATACAATCCTGAAAATCCATCTCAGAAAAGATACTGCCGATATGGAAAAATAAAAAATTGATTACAGACCTTAAAACCCAGTAAAAATAATATGATAAAGCAGGCAATAAAATAGGATGTGTTTAAACAAAGTATTTCAATTTTAGTTAATAAATCAGAAGAAGGACAAATGTAACTTACTTATCAGCAAAATTTAATAATTTTATATTATTTACATAAAATTTACTTTTTTATTTGACTTTTTCAATTAAATATCAAAATACCTCTAACTTCTAACATCAAATAGCATACAAAAACTATTCTGTATTGGAAGAAATCAGAAGAAACACAATCACACAAATAAATTGTCAAACTTCAGGATAGATTTTTTCTGACTGTTTCATAATTATGGGATCAGAAGTGTGGCTGGGGTGAGAGGGCAGTCCTCCCCAGGAGGCACTTTTTCGGGGATGGCAATTTCAGTGTATTGCAATAAAAAGAAAAGTTCTTTGTTGTCAGGATAGTAGATACATGATGCCAGACAATTTTATTTTTCCATGCATACACTGCATATTGTCAGAAATTTCTGACAACAGTAAGGACTGTGTTCTCTTGAATATGACCTTATTTACAAATATAAACATCTTAAATCTAGTAGTTATATATTGTGAGAATCCAGACTTCAACATAAACAATTTAACATCATAACATCAACTTTGTCAACTATCTGTCAACTTTCACATCTGGGAATGTATCTCCTTTTAAGTTCTCAGTGTTGATAAAGATGCTTTCATGCAACCTTCTGACCTGCTGTCCTGATTTCATCATTTTAATATAATACCAAATGGGCAGTCAAGAATTCGTTGCCATTCCCTCTAGGATTAAAGTCATCAAAATTTTCCTGTGTCAGTGCCAATCATACTCTATTGGATTTTCATGTTACCCTCAACTGTGCCTAGAAGAACTTTCCCAGATCGATCCAGACCTGTCCTGAACAATCCAAATCCATATAACCTCAAGACCCTAGACCTCCAAGTCCTCACAAAATCCAAATCAAGAAGTATCACCATCAACGCAGGTATTTCCCGACTCACAAACAATTGTAAACTCTCTCTTGCGTGACTGCTAGATAGACAGGAAGTCAATATAACACAATATATATTGTATATTGTATCATGTATTCCTTTCATTGAAATTAAATGGCTATTTAGTTGTTAACTTTAGTATCTGAGTACTTCACTTCCATTGGGCTGTCTCTCAGTCTCCATCCGGAACCCAATCACTTACTCCCGTGGCCACTCGCATGACCTACTTTTTAACCCAAACTAAACGTGCCGTCATGGCTCCTGTGTCAACCAAAACATGATAGTGTCAGTCTTGACAAGGCATCAAAGACATGTCAACCCTCTAGTCACAATATTAAAGCCAAACAATCACCAGATTATATCGGGCTATATTACTACTACTATTATATATTAAATGCTATGTAATTTGGCACCAGGGCCAGGCTTTATATGCCATTTCTTGCTAAATTTAATAATTATAATTTAATACTATAATAATATTTTAATAATTAATTAAGAAGGTTCTCAAAGAAGATGACCGTAAATTCAACGGCTACTCAGGGCAGCACAAATCCTAGCTATGACACTGTGTGAGATAAAGTCAAAATGAAAAACTAATTGTTGCTATACACATCCAAATAAATCATAAAACAACAGTCAAATCATAAAATTTACTTGAGTGCATATAACAGCATTAAATGTGATTTCTAAGAATTTTTTTCAAAAGAAATCAATTTTCTAGAACAGGAAGTATGAATCTTTTAAAATTAAAATCAAATGGTGACTTTTAAAAAGACAAATTTATTGAAACATGTTAGATCAATCAACACCCATTTATATATATATATGTTTATATGTAGAAAGGAAGATTATGTAAAATTGTTAGTCTATTGAATGAAATGATATTTCATTCCTCCTAAAGAAAAAAATAAATTTTTAATCTGGGAACTACAATCTTCATGATCCTTGATATGCAGAATACGTTTTAATGTATACATATACAGTATATGTATTAAGGCTGAGACTTCACTAGCATAAATCCCTCGCTATAAATACTTTTAATCACGTGACCATGATATTTTACGCCAGAGCAAAAAAAGTATAAAGCAAATCGAGCAGTGTTCAACTTTCGACACGAATACATTGGTAAAATGGTTTCATCAACCAATCAGAAGTCAGTAGAATCTATGTCATTGTGACATCATGTGAAAATTGTCAGGAAATGAGCTTTCAAGGGCTACTCTGGGCAGCACAAATGAAAGTTCTTTCATGGCTACTTAGAAAAGACCTAGAATAGATCTGAAAAGATTTATCAAAAACATCTGAAAGTATCTATGTATACATGACAAGACTCATCCCAATTATAAGAATGAATGCCTAAAACAAGCGATGACCGAAGGAAAAATCCTTCAATTTAGATGAGTATATAATAAAAAAGCTAAATGTATAAGTGTAGTATAGTAGCTTAATAATATGATGATAAAAGTTAATATATGAAAGTAAAGATATTATTTTTACTACATTTGTAATTATAGTACAAAAAAAAAATTGCAGAATATAATCATTGTCTTTATCAATATACATTTATATAATCAATATACAGTTGTATATTGATACATCATATATACAACTGTAACTTCGATAATGGAGCAGGACTTCTACCGCAATCCAAGTGCAAATGCAAATAGGCCACATGATTAAAGGTATTTACAGCCAGGGTTTTTACACTCATTTTTACACTAGTGAAGTCTCTGCCTAAGTTTCAAGTTATTTTTCCTAAACTGTAATTATTATTAATTTAGTAAACACAATAAAAAATGTTGGTATCATTGATCAATCAATAACAGTGGCTAAATAATTCATCTTAACTATGTTAAAAACAATTTAATTCATTTAACTTACTTTGGATCAGCTTCACTTGCTGCTATTATTAACCAACATGTTTCATATTTTAAACTTAAACATTTAATTTTTATACTGAGTTGTTCAAGATAAACCTTTGTCATTAATTTATAATTTTCAATAAAAATGCCTGTTTTTTCATCTACTATAATATCAACAAAATATAGAGTTTCTTCACTTGACAAATTATTGAACTTCTGATAATCTCTTTCAATAAGAGTCATATTATAACTAGAAATAAAAATGTTCAATTAGTTTTAAAATCTGATTAATAATAAAAAATAAATGAAATAATTAAAACCTGATTTCCAATATTCTCAGAAGAGCCAAGTCTTTAGTTATTTTAGTAGATCCAATCACTGTAAAAGACTGGTCATCTTCACTTCCTAAAAAGTATTATTATTGACAGACATGGGCATAAAGAGAAAATTTTCCAGAGGGGGGACAAAGCTCTGAGATAAATAATTATATCAATAAATTTTTATTTAATTATTTAATATTTTTTGGGTTGTTTTTTACAAGTAGATTATGAAATGCAGCAGTGGTGTGCAAAATATTTTCATTTCCGACCCCCCATTTGTGTAAAATTTTGTCGTGACCCCTTGATAGACAGTAGACATATTTTTAATCGTCAACATAGTTAAGGTGAAATTCTTTCTGGGATTTCTATAATTTAAATATACAGTAGACACCCCTATAACATGGTAGATACATTCCATGTTTTATGAAATTCATGTTATACGAGTCCTTAAATACATGAGCCAATCACAGCCCGGCACATATGCAGTTTATGGACTACGGATGTTTGAAAGGTTTCTTCCATATAATTAACCGATTCTAGACTAGTTGGACTCGACATTTCCAAAACATATATAATTTTTTGGGAATAATCCATATAAACTATGCTATAAATAAAAAATTGTAGGATTACTTACCAAGTGTGCACTGTTCGACGACGCTATTGCTTAAGCTTGTTTTCATCGCGGAGTGGTGCATTGAACGACAGGCGTGTTTCCTGATAAATTATTTTTCTGCGAAAAATTTGCTGAACTTTGGAGACATCATTAATATAAATATAATTTTTATGGCCGTTAAATAATAAATGGTTTTTAGTAGGTCCGCTGCTTGTTTAAACTCAACAGTTTGTGCAATATCCACTATTGGTCTGGATTCGACTGATCCTGTAATGACATGAGTTGGCAATGACGTTTTACCATATTATACGAGTCTCTTTTAGCATGTTTATATGAATACGGTCGCAATTTTTTTGCCGTTATATACAAATCCATATTATATGAACCCGTATTATAGGGGATCTACTGTAATTAAATAAAATAAATATAATTTCATTTCACTATTTTACTGGTACCTGATACTTATTAAAGAAAAACCTTATATTTTTTATTGTCAAATAAATTTCTTTGAATTTGGCAATCTGGAAAAATTTTCTCGTGACCCTGAGGGGTCACGACCCATGGTTTGCACACCACTAGAATACAGTACTGCATTAGTGTCCCATGGTCAAAGATGTGAGATTACATATCACTTTTATGATTATGATTTGTGGAATTTTTTCCTCGATTCCAGGGAAGGGCAAGTTTCTCATCTGCCCCTGCTGCAGACACCCACGTTGACAGATATTTAAAATAAATTGATGTATTTAACTAATATTATATTTACCAATTTTATTCAGTGTCATTTCATCAGGACTTAATTCAACATCAAATCTTATATAAACAAGTTCATAATTTTTATAGTATGTTTCTCTAAAAGATTTACATGAATCATATTCAATGATCATAGTAAAATGGCATAAAGGTGTCTTGTCAGTTATCATGTTAGAAATGATTATTGTAGCATATTCAGATCTATAAAATAAAAATTATTTAAATTGAAATATTAGCTAAAATCATAATCAGTTTTAAAACAGATAATTTACCTTGTTTTTAATACTATATTTTCGTTTAAAAATATTTTAATATCAGTTTGAATCACTTTTTTCAGCACTTCTTTAATTATTGGACAAATTATATGAGAATAATTTTTTACAATTATTAGAAGCTATTTCAAATAATAATTAAAAATTATAAACTCAAAATGTACTAATTATATTTTGTAAATTTGCTGTAAAACTATTAAAATTAATAAACATTTAAATGTTTTTTTTTTTTACCTGAAACTGCCTATTCTTTAAATGTAGTTCTCTTATCAAATATTTATATAGTGCTAACATTTTTGGATGTAAGCAATTTGATGTTTCCATATTAAATTTAATTTTAGATAAATCTTTGAATACATTATTAAGATTTTCTGAAAAATCAAATTAAATTTATAAAAACAAAATCATTGCTTATTAGCAGGGATGTTCCTGGATTGTTGGCCATCCAGTTGCAAAAATAATATTGCTACTCTTATTAATTTATTATTGGTCCACCAGTGGCCAAACGGTTCCATTCCCTGAACACTGGGAGGTTGTGGGTTTGCGCCTGGCGAGGTGCAAACCCACAGGTTGGCCATGTGGAGTTTTCTGGGTTTTCTCCACATCTGTAACACCTGCCAATAAGCCTTAAAAATACCTCCTGGAAAGCATCCTCCTAGGGAGATTGCCCAAGTATTGCATTGCTGTAACTTAACATACATACATACATACATTAATTTATTAATTAAGAATTTGATATTCAGTGTTTACTTTTATATCTATATTCCGTTTATCTAAAAGGTAATAAAATTCTTATTAAACAAAATTTTACATATAATAAACAGTTTGCAGCCCCCACTGGGTTTGGCCATCCAGGTGCGGAGACACCTTTCGCACTTCCGCCAGGAACAGCTCTGCTATTAGTACAGTTCATTCAAGCTACTGGTTATATCAATAATCAGAAAATATTATTATTATTTATAATTTTTAAGAATTAAAATAACTTTTTAAAAATTTATATTTAATACATTAGATTAAACAGTCAAGATGAAGGTAAGAACTTATTTCTTAAACTATCCGTTAATTTGCCGATTCATTTTACTGAAGTCTTTTACAGTAATATAATTTATATAAATATAACTAAATTATTAAAATATCCATTTTTAATTCTAAAATTAATATTCTAAATTTTTTAATATTATTTTTAAGTTAAAATTTATCATTAATTATTTAAAAATTTAATTTATAATTATTAAATAATAATATACATTAAAATAAATTTATTTACTTTTTAAAGGCTCACATAAAATACATTTCTCAATATAATCCAATGCAACAGATATGTGATAATGTATTAAATATTCTTTACATTTGATTAAACTATGTAAGGAAAGTAATGTATAATAAATTTCTTCTGAATCTGATAACAAAAATAAGAAATAATTAAAATGTAACACAATTCATAATAATTTCAAACTATAACCAGTGGCGTAGCGTGGGTGTCAGCCGCCCGGGGCGGAGGAAAATTTCGCCGCCCCCTTATTTAGGTATCTCAATTTAAAAGACTAAAATTCAGTTTCGTCACAGAATAAGTAATGAAGAATTCCGTGCTCATTTCAATTGGTCCGAATTGTAGGTGCAACAAAAATATGAAATGAAATGGTTCAAATTTTTACAAGATATTGTTATTATTTATTGTGAAATTTTGCCGCCCCCTAAAAGTGCCGCCAGGGCGGGCCGCCCCTGCCACCCCCACTACGCCATGCCACTGACTATAACGATAATGTGACTTAATCATAATACAAGATTATAATACCGAAATTTCTATATTACATTATTTAATTAAGAGGCATTAATTAGTTTATAATATTTTTTAACTGTGAATGTTTTAAAAATGTTAACTCCATTGATGTATTCTGATATATTCAAATTCTTAAAAATGTAAAATTCCACAAAGATATATCAAAAAGTGGAAAATGTAAATGAAATGTTTAAAATCTTATCATTATCATTAAAGACTGAATATAAACCTTTAAACACAATATTTTCATATTTCACATTTAGCAGTGATTGACACATATCTAATAGGAACATTCTTTTAAGCAAAGATTCTTGCAAAAAGAATTCTACCATTTTAAATTTACTGTAATTATGTTAATTATTATCTGAGAAGTATGTGAATGTAGAAACTAAATCATTATAGCAGACTTTATATAATATAAATGCAGAAAAACCTACGTGTGTTCCAATTAAGACTGTCAAACAATAAATCCGAGTTTGTCTTATAACTAAGTCTGTTTTAATCAGGGGAGACAGTTCAGATCTTAAGTTTTATATTTAAACAAGACGATGTTTGAATGCAGATGGGAGATGAAAATTGGATTAAAATGATAGCATTCTTTTTGTAAGATCCTGTATTTTGAGATGAGAGTGAATATAAAGTTATTAACAAAACTGACAAAATGCTCACCAAATCATTCAAATTTTTCATGAAATTTATGGTGATAATTTCTCAAAAAAAAACAACTACTTATGAATGGATCAGATTTAAAGAAAGATGAAAGGAGCTAATTAATAGCATGAGGAGTGGTGCTCTTAAATGCCAATTAACAATAAAACTGCTACTGTTATTCAGAAGTTTATGGAGATTGCCAAATTACAATTCAAACAACAGTCACAGAAATTAATATTTTGTGGAAGCTGATGGGAAAAAAGGAGGATGTTAATCCCTCTTCTTGTCAAGATGAATGAGAGGTGTGTGTGTGATTGTCAACATGGCCCCTTTTACAAAAATAGCCATTTATTTGGAAAATAAATGATACATATGCAATTCAGGTCAAGAACTTCTTCTCTAGGATGGAAACAAAACATAGAAAGTTCAGTCTATAGTTCACTGTTGTTGGTTCTCCAACAGCAATCAGAGGTCACACGGTGATTCAATGGCAATCAGATGATCCTGGGGCAGACAGATTGGAAATCAGACATGGTTATCAACAAAATGAATATGAAGTCAAAGACAAGAGATACACCAACACTGGACAGACAGGTTGAGCAAGGGAGAATCGACTCTTTTTGTCACTGAATTTTGGGGTTTTTAAAAGATTTATCCCCAAAATGCTTAATTTGATTGGTCTCGATTCCTCTCTCCACTTCCCAATTGGTCCCTTTCCTATTTCCAGGTGAAATTAGATGACCAGATTGAATGTGGAAAAGATTATTCTCTGTTAATTAATTTGACACCTTTTTTCAACTTTGTCTGAAAGTGTTGATTGAACTTTGAAACTTTCACTCATATCTAACACAATGATATGTGTCCTTAAAATTAACGACAAAGTTTTTCTTTGTATTTTTATAAATTTAATAAATTTCAAGGTTTTAAAGATACTTGAGTTGTGCAGGAACAGATGTGCTATGCATCAGATACATGTTATCAAAAGCCACTTGGATGTCATTGTCAAAAGCAAAAGCTGCAAGTGCTGTTGTGCACAAATCCCTTCTAATGGTGCGTCTAATATTCAGCAATCTGCAGGTGGCTCCTATGTACTTATATTGTCAATCTATCCTATTGTCATATATAGGAATTGTATAAATCCCAGAAAGGGTTAATTTCTCACGTGTTTCTTTATCATTTCTCAACATGGAAAAGACTGTAAACTTATCTTAAATGCAATGTTAACATTGGCCATATGTGATAATTCTTTGTAGTTATTGTATAGAACTCTGTCAAAAATAATGGTTTTGTATGGTCTGTCATCAGTCCTTGTAGAATAGGATTGTGTATGATAACATTGGATCAGATCCTTGATAAGATTTGATTAGTATCCTAGGGCAGTGGTAATGCAGTACATATGAGCTGTTCACAGGCCAAATCGACTAACTCCATTTGTAAATCCTTAATATAATTGTTATTGTTTTCAAATTTTTTGTGTAACTATTTTTATAAAAATACATTCTGCAATGTTTATTTAAATTTAAAGTTTAAAAAAAATTTTAAAAAATAGTTTATGTTATCAGTCTTTATACTTTCTGTTTTGTGGAGTTAATCAATTTGGCAAGTGAGCAGTTCATATGTTGAAACTCCCTGTTTTTGAAACTTGTATCAGAACAATGCATACAAGCTCTTCTAATAAATGCTCCAAATGCCACCATTTTAGAAGAGAATGGATCATGAAACATTAGTGGAATGAGTAAGGGGTTATACGAGCTCTTCTGGTAAACATCTACAGTAAGTGATTCATTGCACACTGTGATAAGGATATCAAGCAAAGAAGTATACTCAGTAGGTACTTTTCTACTCAAAACAGAGTAATAAATCATACGGATTGTTATTGATGGTGGTCAGTAATTCCTGCAATGAGGAGTCACAGTTCCAAATAATTAAAATGTTGTCAACATATTTTGTTTATATATTTGATATAGATTGACAATACAAATACATTGGAGCCATCTGCAGACCATTGAATATTAGACTTAAGGAATATAACTACATCATTAGAAAGGATTTGTGCACAACAGTACTTGCGACTTTTGCTTTTGACAATGACATCCAAGTGGCTTTTGATAATGTGTGTCTGATGCATAGCATATCTGTTTCTGCACAACTCAAATATCTTGGAAACCTTGAAGTTTATAAAACTACTGTACTAAGAAAGGCTTTGCCATTGATTTTAAGAACACATTTTCAGTATTGTATGCATGGAAAAGTATTTATGAAGATTTATAGCTTTAATCTCAAGTTTTGCATTTTTATTTAGTATTTTTCTGCTTATATTTGTTATTACTTATTTTTAAGTATTTTAATTACTCCTTGTTTTTTTCTTTGTATTTTATTTTGATTTTTCTTTACCATTCTTCTATGCATATGATCATCAGCAGAAATTTAATGCATTCCATTTTATTTATATTTGTTTTTTGAATTATGTTCTATGTATATTTCTATAAGCCTAATGATGGCTGTCAAATACAGTTGAAAATATTTGTTCTTCTAATAAGTTAATTCCTATTAACTGAATTGCAGGTTTTTTAAAAATGTTCTTAAGTGATGCACAAGATTTAATGCAGGGAATTGTAACTGGAGATGAAACTTGAATTCTTGAATGTAATTCAGTTCAAACAATGGCTCCCAAAATGATATAATTGTATGGACTAGTTAAATTCAAATCTGAAAGATAAGCTTAAAAATCAATGGCTACTATGTTTTTGGACCTAAAGAAGTAATTTTACTGAGTTTGCTTGAGAGATTAGAAACAATAATAAAATTTTACTGTAAGCAGGCTCTGTGAAAACAAAGCCAAATTATTAAAATTAGGTCTGGAAGACTGCATTGCAGTAGCTTTTTCCTTTATGATAATATATTTGCATATTCTTTGAAGATTTCAAACATTGTATTGTAAGAATTCTCTGGTTCATTCTTGTACTTGAAAAATTGCATTAAAAAGTGTAATTATGTTAAAAAAATATAATATACATTTTGTTTAAAAAGCATTAAAAGTTAAAAACAATGAGCAGTTATTTATTGTGGCATCATCACAATGCTGGCTGCAATTTTTAATCATATCTTTAATTTATTTAATTTAAAATATATGCTCTCCACTTTAAATTAGTAGTGGCTTGCCCCTGTGCATCATACTTTTCCTTTAATTAACAATGGAGTTGTGCCAGTAATCTATCTAACACCTTTCAGGAAAAAATTTTTGAATTGAAATAACATTACTTCTGGTTTGCATCAGAAGTTCTTATATGAGGGTCGTCCCAGAAGTACCGGACCTGACATAGATGGCGGTACATGTTTGAAAAAAAACTACTGTGTTCGAAAGTATTAACCTTATAAAGCTTAAGTTTGAAGTTTGAAGACGTATAGTATTTTTTTGGCAGCCATAAATAATGAACAATCTCAGTGAATCTGTAAACATGGAAAAAATTTGTCATCGTTATGTGATACAATACTTTCATTTGAAAGGTTTCAGTTCAACCAATATTAAAGCTGAGCTAGATTCTACTCTGGGGGAGTCTGCTCCCTCGTTTACAACAATAAAATATTGGGTGGCAGAGTTTAAACGAGGCTGTACGAGCTGCCAAGATGAACATTGTAGTGGTCAACCAAGTGAGGTGACCATGCCAGAAGAGGTGGAAAAAATCCACAAAATGGTATTGGATGACAGTCGACTCAAAGTGTGAGAGCTAACAGACATGGTAGGCATTTCAAAAAGTGCTGTACATCGCATTTTAACTGAAAATTTGGACATGAGAAAGCTGTGTGCAAGATGGGTGCCGCGTTTGCTCACAATGGGACAAAAACAGCGTCGTGAGGATGTTTCAATCGAATCTTTGGCAATGTTTCGCAGCAACAAAGCCGAGTTTTTGCGTCAATTCATAACCATGGATGAAACATGGGTCCATCACTTCACACCTGAGACGAAAGAACAGTCGAAACAATGGACTGAAAGGGAAGAATCAGCTCCAAAGAAGGCGAAAACAGTTCCATCTGCTGGCAAGGTCATGGCGTCAGTTTTTTGGGATTCGTCCAGGAAAAACAATCAACAGCAAGTATTATGCGAACTTATTGCAGCACTTGAGTGATGAAATCAAGAAAAGACGGCCACATTTGGCGAAAAAGAAAGTGTTGTTTCATCAAGACAACGCACCAGTTCACATATCTGTTATTGTGATGGCCAAAATCAATGAGTTAAGGTTCAAATTGCTTCCTCACACACCCTATTCGCCAGATTTAGCCTCCTCGGATTATTTTCTCTTTCCAAACTTAAAAAAAATGGCTTGGTGATAAAAGATTTGCCAACAATGAAGAGGTGGAGTCTGCGGTTGATGACTATTTTGAGAAGCTTGACAGTTCTCACTATAAACAGGGGATTGAAGCTATTGTACATTGCTGAAAAAGTGTATCGAGCTAAAAGGAGACTATGTTGAAAAATAAAGATATGTTTTACCAAATTTTTTGTGTCTTCTTTGTTAGGTCGGGTACTTCTGGGACTACCCTCGTATATGTTAATATACGCTTCTTGTCCTTAATTAGTTATATTATGTTTGTGTCCACTTTGGACCTTCTTGTGAACTAGAACTTGTTACACTGAGGGAAGTGGAACACACCATTTCCAATTAAGACATATTTCCCAATCCATTTTTGTAATATTTAATAAATTTTTACTAAAAAAAGTGTTATTTTTAATCCATTTAACTTCAATTACACTACACCCTTTGTATTATGTGAGTAAGGAGACAGAATCATGCATCGGATTACAGTTAAAACTAGCATCCCATTAATAGAAAAGTATCTTCTTGTTTTTCTATTTTTACTGTATTTTGATTTATTTCACATCAATATGTATTGCAATGAACCGCTACTGCCGAATTAGAATAATTATTAGTGTTGTAACGAATAGTATATTCGGCCTCAGGCTGAATACCGAATATTCGGCCAGGAGCGTGGCCAGGAGCGTGGCCGAATAGCCGAATATTCGGCCAAACTATTCGGCTCGATTAACGCACGTACGAAAATTGGCGCGCAAACCGCATTATGGCAAGGATCCTGCTCTCTATCGGCCCGCTGTCACTACGCTTCGCCAATCGCGTTAATTCTTGGCAGTTGTAGCGGACAGACAAGAGTGTCATGGAAGTATGTGATAAATGATGATATCAAATGTGGATAACAATGAAATGACCTACACGTGTAAATAACGGAAAAAGAACAGAGAAGGACCGCGAAGTGAAAATGTGAAAATAAATATGAAATTGAGTTGATAACATAATCGAACAAGTCGAGGCAGCTTATTGGCACGAAATTCGCGGCCGTCAATGCCAAACAATTGTTGTCATAGACTTCGGAAAGCTAAATGCTTGTAATGAAAGTCACTTAGCGTGCACGGGCGAAAGCCTGGGGCCGTTCGGGCTATCAAGCTGTCTCGAATCTGTGAAATCATAACTGTGACTTATATCGACGTCCTATCTGTCTCTTTTCTCCGTTATCACCAGGCTGAGTCACGTAATTGTAAAATGGGAACTCTACGACGGAAAAGTGACGAATCGAAAGTATCGTGAGCGCGTATTATGATGTATGCACAGGCATACATGGATTAGAGCGATAGAGGAAAGAGAAAGGGAAGAGCAAAGACGAGCGCTTAAAAAGAAGGATAGGCAGGGTCAGACCCTCAGATGTGCGAGGATTCTCCAACGATAGACGTGTACTGTACGTGTGCTGATCTTTGTAATTATAAATTGTGAATACATGTGACTAATATTATTTTCTTTTTTATTTTGTGCATGTTACAAGTTATAAATAAATATAAACAAACAACACTAACTCGATAACATTAAATCTAAATACCAAAATGATTAATTTACTGTGTTTTTGTTATTTATTACTCCTGTTTTTAGGTATTCGGTATTCGGCCGAATAGTGAAAAATAGGCCAAATAGGCCGAATACCAAATAGTAACCAAATATTTGTTACATCACTAATAATTATACTTTATTGCTCTTATGTGTTCAGTTAATATTTTCCTTAACTTTCTTTTTGTTTTTCCAACATATCTATATTTTAGTAAATTACATTGGAAAGAGTATACTATATTTGCTTTGTCCAATACACTAATGGGCATATCCTCTTTATTCTGTCTTAGTGCTGCTGTAAAATTCACAATAAGCCAATAATAAGTGCACTTTAGCTCCTGAATTGATATATTACAAAAAAATACAACACACACTAAAATACTGCACAATCTGTAGCATTAAGCAAAAAGATGCTATATGATTTGTAATACAATGGAATGAAAATGGTATTTTATAACATAGAATTATGAAAATAAGTACCATAATATAAGATTATATGAGTCTATATTTCAATATTCAATCTAACGTAAATATCTGCTTTAGTTTTCCCACTTCCTTCACATTTTCACATCTGCTAATAGTACCAAGTTTGAACAATAAAATTTATATATAAAATGAAGAAAATGCAACAAAGCTGAAAATAATGAAACCATTTTGTTCTAATTTTCATAATGTTTTCAAGGAGATTCAACTTTTGGAGGCTGCTGAAGATGAGATTTTTAATCTTCTTGAAAACCTTACAGAAATTAGAATAAAATAGCTTCTTGATTTGAGGATGTTTTCTTGATTTAACATAATCATTTTTTCCTTGTGTTCAGGATATACTTGTATAAACACCACTCAAAAGTGAAATTGCAACATCACAAAGGAATGCATGTAGCCACATGCATATTGCAGAACTGGTAGAGGTGACAGAGATATGCAAATGATTAAAAGAACAAACAAAGATATGTAACAAGCACCTCTTCACAATGTCGGAGATGCAACCCTGTGGCAAGTGGTTAATGGCACCCCATTGCTGGTTGCTTTGCATGCAATCCAACTTTATGCAACCTGATGCAAATGGTTTAAGTGGACACAGATGCACCCGTTGGCAGTGACAGGTGGCTTTGAATGTCATGTGCTGTGGCGAATGGGTCCTAACAGGCCATTCAGCAAATCTGCCGTTCTGTGCATTCTGTTGTGTCAGTGCTATGGTACCACTCTATTTTCAGCGTATTTGCAGATGTTCTTGCATCCATTGTGTCACACATTGCTGGATGGTACTCACATCATGCCCCAATAAGCATGACAACTGTGTGCATCAACAAGCCAAGATTGCCTAGCTTTCAGGTATGATCTCATTCCCCAGCCATTAACTGGTAGTATTCAGCTTGCTGTCATCTCTGAGGCATTTTCTACACTTCTTCAAAAGTTCAGCTGTCACAAACCATTGCTGATAGCATTTATGGACTAAGCCGGCTGATGATCTTTATAGACCAAAACTGGGTACCACATATCCGATGCATACACAGACTTAATCATTTGTATATCTCTGTTACCTCTACTGGTCCTACAATTTGCATATGGCTATGCACATTTCTTTGTGATGTTGCAATTTCACTTTTGAGTAGGCTTACTGTAATTGTTACTGGCCAGTTTGTCATTTTGTCCCGGTTATTTGGTAAAATTTTAAAAGTGCCGAATATACAAGAAGTAAAAATAGTGCAGCCTGGGGTAAAATGGCGATTTGGCAATTACCCCTCTGTTACACTCACTGTTGCCAATCTAAATATTTCATATCTAGATCTAAGTATTTTTAATGTTGTCTAGATGTTTCCCCAAAATTTATAGCATATGGCCTAGTGAATTTAGATGTTTTATTTTTTCACAGAATTTATAATAGCACGTAGCTTATGAGATCCAGATATTTTTATTTCATTTTTTTAAATATTTTGTTTCAATTAGAGTTGGCAATACTGAAACTTACACTGGCCACGTCATTGCTGCGCATGTCATATCTCAGCCGAGTTCAAATTGCTGACTGGCATTTGCGATTATTTCGTACTGTAAATTAAATTCAATTAATCTCTAAAATGCCAAAAAGAAACCATGTTTTTACTGATGATTGGAAAAAAGGCTGTGATTGTATCAGCCAAGTGAAATATGAACTGTGCTTTTCAGAATTTTCAGTAACTCATGGTGGGCATTCAAACATTAAAAATCACTTGAAATGTGCAAACATAAGGCAAGCAATAGGAACTTCCTCAAATGTATTGTCATATTTTAAATGTACTGATTTAAGTGACAAAGGATTTTTAAAAAAGTTCACACTAGTGATAAATATTAATAACTTCTTAATAATGAGATATGTTTAGTTCAGTTATTAAAAATTGCTTTTAACTCATTGTTTTGTTAACAACTACTTTATTTAGCCTTTTGAATCATAGGTACTGTACTTATCCTAGTAGGCTTAATTTTCTGTTGCGAGTATTTTCTCAAAATTGTCCCAGTTTGAGAAAAAAATATTATGGTAAGCATACTTTTGAGGAGTGTAAAATGTTTTTACAACTTTGAATTTTGGTTTCTAACACACATCATGTTCTTAAAAATATAATAAATTAAAAATAATAAAATTAATACAAAAATTATTAGATGGATAACAAAAAAACAATTAGATAAAACAAAAATTATTTACCTGGATCTATTAATCCAATTTTATCAAAAGAGCTATCATTATTTGAAAATGATTGATCAACTGTATGTAGTAATCTATTTCTTTTCTTCATTATTAACATCCCATTTCTGTATTCAAATGATTCTTCTATTAAATTTTCAATACATTTTTGAATGTAATCATAAGTATGTTTATATCCTCCTGTATTAAAATAGATTAATAATTAATACGATAAGATTTCGTATTGCTTCACAGTGTGAATGCATGACTTATTTTTATTGTACTCAGTTCCATAGTAGGAATAAATCATTGGGGCTACAGATAGAAAAATTCTGACTGATATATTTCTCTTTTCTAGTCATCACTAAGCCTATTAACTACAGTCCAATTGTCAAAAGATAACAGTAGGCCTAGTTTGTGTTTTGAAAACAAAAACATATTATATATAATGCATATAGGATCTATCAACTAAACTGAATAAGCCATCTCATAGTCCCAGTAGCCACTGCTCTGATTATATTTTAATAGTAGACTTTTGCAACTCTGGATTTCCAGAGTTGCAGATGCAATATTTTCAATTTATGAAAGAACATAAAGATCTCCACAAAGAGTGTTATATAACACATCAACCTGTTATTCAACCAGAAAGTACCATGACTAAACTGCAAGTTGTGTTTGAATCTCATCTCAAATGGAAAATAGAATAATTAATAAGGCTGCATCCAGGAAGATGGAGTAGTTATAGTAGTCACTGTTAAGACAAGTTATGGCATTTTCAAGAGTCCTGTCAAGAAGTTATACTCTGTACCGATTTACTACAATTAATTAAATTCAAAAGAATATTTAATATTTTAAGCTAATTTTAATGTGTTGTTATCAGACATTGGTCAAGTAAAAGAACATTTGACTTGACCAATCCAGATTTTTCCATTGTTATAATGACCAATTACACACAAGAGTTATACTACAGGGTAGTATAGAAAGAAGAATATGGGTGGATAAACTAATAAGGAAAAAATACCATATGGTGTAATAACATCACACATTCTTCAGCTATTGTACATGCCTTCTGGGGTATAAGCAATAAATTAGTGAACTTTTATCGTTAAAAGTACATGAAAACATGTTGTAAAACAGAGAATGGTTAACTGACTGTTAGCAGGTGCAAATGGTAAAATTGGCATTATCTTAAAAACTTTATCCATATACAATGATTTCTAGTCAAAAATAACTTTCCCTAAAATGATTAAAAATCACAAAATCTTTGAATGATACTACCAAAAACACCAAAAATATGCACATCGAAAGTGGTCAATTGACCATTGTCAGGCATTCTAGTATTAAAAAGAAAACTCACTATATTACATTTATTTCTATATATTCAAAAAGTATTGTGTTTATATTAAATTTTTCACAATTAACTTTGTTTTTTTTACTTCAATTATGAAACTAAAATAAATGGCAAACATTCAATAAAGTCTTTAATTCATATTAGTCTATTTTGATTAATCTATTAATAGGACTTGTTATATTGATTTAACTTATGGATGAAATTAGAGAAATTGAATCAGTCTCTTGGTTCAATCTCTCTAATTTCATCCACAAGTTAAATCAGTATAATACACTCAATTAATAGGACTTTAATAAGTCCTATTAATTGAGTGGAGCTCTTCATAAGTTAGAATGTGTTTTGTCTGTGATCAAAGTTCAAAGCAGCCACATGACCATTTAAGCGTGGTTTTTTGCAAGTCTGTACAACTAGGCAAGACTAATAGCCTGACAAACCTGAAATTTTGAAATTCAATCTATGCGATGAGCTATTTGAGCTCTCCATGTATACTCTATTGGTGGGTTGCCCGTTACTTGTTTGTCACATGCTATATGTCAATCAAATTTATGATTGCTGTTAATTTACACTGATCTCTATAATAACTTTTTATTTTGATCTTTATGACAGGCATTTAACATGCATAATGTTGTAACAGAATTAACTTTTCAAAACACACGTGTCCTGTGGATACACATTTGTGTGTTTTAACTGGTTGCTGGCTGCACAATGTTTTACACATTTATTGATTTTTGTGTCAGTTATTACAATGTATTATATATGCATGGCCCCCCATACCTGTGGATTTTAAACTGCTTTAGACATAATGTCAAAAGCTTATTACCATATCTGTGTTTCTGTGTCAAGCTGAAACAGAAAAATCTATTCCTGGAGCTCAGTTTCCTTTTCCTAGAAAATACCTAGTAGATTATAGTCACAATAGACTAATATTAATAAAATAACATAAAAAAGACTAGAAGCAGTAATTAATTATTCAATGAAGTCATTAAACATGAAAATTTCATTTCCATTCTTAAAGTTATAATAATAAATTATATTAAAAATACTGAAATATATAATACCTGAAATTTTTATTTTAATAATTTGTTCTTTTCCTTTATTGTCATAAAAAAGTTGATAGTCTATAATAAGCAAATAAATATTTGTAATATATTTGTTTGACTAAAAAAAGTGTATATATGTATATGCTGTATAAAATTAAATTTTAAAGTACATCAATTACCAAAATATTTAGTATTAGATTATAGGAACATAATTAAAAATAAATTTGAAAAATTTTTAAAAATGCAAACTAACTCACCTTCAGATATAATTGATTTTTGATTAATATATTTTTTGTTTAAACTCTTTGATTTATTGCTATTTGAAGTACATAATACCTGATCAATATCATCTTTTAAGCTTATAATAAGATCAGATATGACTAATTCTTGATTTTCATTAGCATGAAATATTTTTTCATCAATTGGACCTTTTATATCTTTATTTAAAATTAATTCTTTGTTTATTACTTGTTTTTCATTAATGTCACCTGTTTCATTTTCTTCACAAATACTTGTAGTAGATTCATTTTCATTTGTAGATTCATTAAAGATATTTATTCCAACAATATCACAGTCACTGATGTGTGATTCATTAAAATTCAACTTAAAATATATATCTCTTAAATTTTCATTTGCATTCACTTCATTCATTTTTAAACTATTTTTATTAGTGGAGACCATTAAATCTGATGAATTTTCTAAACTGAAGCTCTGAAGACCTTCAACAAAATCTGGTAATAACTAAAAACATAGCAAATTATCTAATAAATTTTAGAATCTGAAGTTGAATTTAAAGAAAAAAATTACATAATCAATGCAAAATTAAAATTACTGTAATATATAATTACATATTTTGAAAAAATGTAAATGTCTGTATAATAATATGAAGGCTTGTATATTGTGTATATTTATATATTTGGGCACAGAAACTGTTCACATAAATTCTTCTAAGTAATGAATTGGTCTAAATAGAAACAAATGGAAACAGATAGTTTGAAATATAGACATGTACACACAAAACTTTTTAAAATATATGAAATCATAACATTCTCTAGAGGAACTCAGGATGTTTTATATATGTTGTTAACAGAAGAAATTAGTTAATTTTCATACTCCTTTTTAAAGTATTGATTTAAATCAGTACAATAAAGAAAGATCATATTTTTTCTCAGAGTTCTTCAATTTTATTTTCAATACACTTTATTCTTTCTAATTCCATTAATTAAAATGTATCAATACTAATTAATAAGAAATGCAAAAATAATTCAAATAAAAATGAAAAAGAATAATATCAATACCTCTTAATTTTTCTTTGAATTATCTCAGTTCAATTCAATATTAATAATTATAGTTATTTTTAATTCATTAGTTAAATTATTTAAAAATTAAAACTTACATCTGGTAATTCAATCAACTGCACATGGTTTGTCAGTCTTCTTTGTTCAATTTTCATGTTTGTTGTACTAATTTTATGTTCAAAACTAAAATATAAATCATATTTCTTGTTTTAGTTATTTAATCATTATTAAATATTTTTAAATATTAGTAAATAGTTATAATAATAAAGATGAATTTTATGTACTTTAGAAGAAAAGTTAGTATATAAAATAAATGTAGTAGTAATTAGTTTTAGAAGCAAATTTTTACAATGGCTGGATGGCCAAGACAGTAAAGGTGTCAGCCTGTCATTAGGGGACACAGGTTGGAAACCTCAGGAAATTCTCATGGACAGTCTATCCCAGGTGTATCTGACCCCATCCATCACCACCTGGCATTGTGGGCCCAGCTGAACCCATGATGAGTATGATTAGAAAGACCATCTTAGTGTCCACAGAACAGAAAGAATTAACAAAATATTAAAAAAAAAAAAAAAGGAATGTACACCAAACTAAAGGATATGGCTAAATATATCACACTACTCTTTAAACTTCAAGTATATGTTAATACAAAGTCTATTTTTGTCTTAAATGCTATGAAAAAGAACAAGTTCATGACACTTTACAATTGTCTTTATTGCACTTTCCTCATGTAAAACACTGGCTAGACAAAGGACCAAGGTTCCTTTGTTTCCATTTTTTATATCCCCATACCCCAATGCATTAATGTTGCAAATACATAACATCTACATATCATATTTATTCAATAAGAATATGTTATATGATATATGTATAGCAAGGTTTTAATAGTGGATCCACAAATCTTTAGACAGGGTTGCAGAAAGAAAACAATATGCCTACAAAATTTTTTTTCACTTGAGATAACCAGCTTTACTTGGGGAAAGTGTCAGCAGGGGATGCAGCTGTGCCCTGTACATCCCCTAAATCTGTCTTGCAAAGGTCCATTGAAATATTTCATTTTTACCATTTCTTCCATTTCACTTATTTTATAATTACATCTACAATGAACTGCTAATGGAAGAAAAATAGAACTTAAAAAATAATAATAGATAAATAAATACGTTAGAATGGGTGAATACTATCCATGAGTACTTGAATACTAGAAAGTATTAAGATTTGAGATCTCAAATATTATGTTGATACAAAAAATAAGTTCAAATACTACAAATACCTCCAATAATGTAGATTTGTACAGTCACAGTGGTGATTTAAAAGTACCCAAAAGGAGACAAACTCAAAAATTAATTAACAAGTGCACAATGATTGGATTATGGATGATCCAATAAGTCATATTTACCATCAGGAATGTTATAAAAAATAATGTTTTGAACTTTAATAAATAAATTTTCATTTTTTTTTTTGTGTCAATGGTATCACCATGTATCCACCACAATGTACAGACAGCAGCTCTTCATCACCTCTGGTTTAATTTGTAGACAAGAAAAGAAGCAGACTAATTCCTGAATGTTTTCAAGTTCTTGTTTTCTTATGTAAAAATCTACAGTAGATGAGAATGAAAATGATTATTTGTTAATCTATTGTAGTTGAGATTGCCTAAAACAGTGTGCCTTACGTCTGTTCTTGCCCCCCTTTCGCCACATGGTGGGTCTAACTCGGTGGAGAGGAGTTATGTAATTCAGGGGTGTGTGACCGAGGGGTGAGTGTTTTATGGACGGGGTGTGTCTCAGGGAGAGGGGTGAAGGAAAGTGGAGAGTGGAGAAAACGGGAGATGAGTAAGGACAGTGGAGTGAAGTGCAGGAATGAAGATATAGAGCCTGTGCAAGCAAGTCCGTAGAGATTTTTAGAACTTTGGAACTTTTCCCTACCCGGAGTGGAAGAGAAGAAAAGATCGTCGAAGCCTCATTTATGTCGGTATGTTTCCATGTATTCTTGTTATGTCAGCTTAAGCAATTTATTGTCGGGAGATTTTTGTTATCGATTCGCGATATACTAGATTTGTCGGACTCTGTATTCTTGTGTCTCATCTTTATCTTGGGAGTACTGTATCCTCCCAAGTATATTAAAGAAATATTATTATAGTATTTAATGGTTGTCTTGTCTAGTCCCTATTGAGTCCAGTGGATTCCCCTTAATAAGCATTGTTTCCACCAAGCACGCTTGTTATAAATTTATCCCCTGGTTGAGCAGTTATATTTTATCGTGTTGATTCATTCACACGATATTTTGTACCCCCACAACAGTTACTTTAAAACTCGGTGTTTCATTTCTTTAAACTTAATAACTTGTTTTACTTTGTTAATTTATTAATATATTAAAATAAATAAAACAAGTTAAATAATGAATATTAAATAAATTATTAACTAAATAAATTATATAAGATAATTAAGTTAATTAAATATACAGGGTATTCTGATTTAAGAAAAGTGTTATTTGCCCCTCTCTAAAAACAAATACTGTAGAAAAACTGAATCTTTGAGACAGTACATTCTCAACTATATAATGTTAAATGCCTTGTTTTTAATGTCACTTTTGAAATGTATTGTATACACTGGCAATGATTATATGAAAATTTTATTTTGATTCTAGAAATTTTTTTAAACTTGTAGATTATATATTGCTATTGAATTTATCCACATGAAAATACAGTATTTTATTGTTTCTCTTTGTAATTGTTAACTATATCATGTAAAGAAATTGTGTATTACTCAAAACAGATCTTGTATAAAAATGTTAAATGTTTTTCTAAAGTAATATTATGATGAATGAATTAATAATAATAATTAAAATTCTGTTTACTCACATAAAATAATCTGTCAATAAATCATCTTTATTATTAAATAAGATATTTTCAAAAGGAAAAGGATCTAATTTCTTTCTTCTGTTTTCAAAGTTATACAAAATATAATCAATATTCTTTTTGTCAAAAGATTCTAAAACTACTGCTTCAGGAATTTGGTATTCACTGTCTGAATAAAAGAAAAATATCTTTTAATTATATTATTATTATAACTTCAATTCTTCTACTCTAAAAATATTATAGAGTACTATAATTGAATTCTAAGCAAATTATTATTTATGTAAAATTTATGAATTAATAACAATAAATTACAACTTATTAATTTATATAATCTTTTGTAATATATTCTATATCTTAAGTATAAATATAAAATACAAGTATAAAATATATACATAAATTTATAGATGAAACAATGACAGAAAGATATACTGACACTAGATGAGAACCAATTTAAAAAAATATGAATTTTGATTCTCTCATGGCCAAAGATATTTTTGTCTCAACTTAGCTTCTTTGGATGGAAATACTTATATTAAACAATACACTTATTATTTATTTATTAAAAGTTTATCATAACATATTATATCTAATAAATGCAAATATATTAATGTATATTTTGAAAATAATGTTAAATATACATTATAATGGAGTAAATAATATGCTACATTCAATAACATTATATCAAATAACCTTTCATTTCCTTATTATTATAATTTATTCATTTATTAAAAAGCAGCAAGGGCTCTTGCATGACTTTCACCACACAACTAATTTTATAAATTAATTAACTGTATGATGCAGTCTGTTATGAGATTTATTAAAAAGAAGTTTTTATTATTTATGATTACGCAGGCTTATTTTTGGAAAGTAGGAGTGACTTTTTAAAGTAATTGTATCAATAAATGCTAATAATGAGTTAAACTTTCATTAAGTTGAATCCATATAAGATATGACACAATTCCTCTCTATCTCTCCAGCTCCTTGGCTTTAACTTGACTTGGTTCCTTTAACTATCAAATTTAATAGCATCAATGCTCCATACTGGTACAGTGTTTATAAATGAATCTGCCAAGTTTCAAAATTTTTGTTTTATTTAGACCTGAGATATAATGCAAAATGCTATCACTACACACAGAATTTTGTAAGGATTGTTTTTTGCATTTTTGGATTAGTGGAGTTCAAAATTCCGAGAAATGCAAAGCACCAGGGGAATTAAAATTTGACTCCCAGGTGTTTTGCCTTTCTCACCACACTTTCCTATGTTATATTTTATAGCAGCCATGAAAATAAAATGACACTGCTCTTATAAAACTGCAAAATAGATTGAATATTTGAAAACTTTTAATATGCAAACTAATTTTATCATTGCATTTACTATTAATTTTACTTCTTATAGGTCTTTATAATATTGTTTACAAGATACAAGACAACTACCAGCAATTAAAAGTGGGAAAAGACACTTAGAACCAAGTAATATATGTTTGCTAGGTCACTACATAACAAATAATTTTTGTTTAGATTATGTTAATAAAAAATAAAGAGTTATTAGTAATGCATTTATATTCATCACAACATATAAAATAATTTGTTAGCTTTTTAACATCATTTTATACAGCTTTTGTGTGATATGAAACAGTTTAACTATCAGCATGAACAATCTAGATACATAAATACGTTAGACGTATGCTTTATAAATATATACAGTATATTTTATTTAACACACAACACAGTACGAACTTAAATCATTAAAAATATTCTTTTAAATATAAACTATTAAAGTAACTACAATATTTTAATTTTTTCCTAATAGATGCAAATTTTAAAATATTTTTAATACTTTCAATTTTGCCTTTTGTAAATGAATATTAAAAAAAAAAAAAAAGAAGATTTTCATTCAGAGAAATAAATTTCCTTACCAAATATTGAATACATAAAAATTTTTAAAAATTACTATTATAAAAAAAATACTTGCTGTAGCTACAGTGATTAAGTTAATTAAATATACAGGGTATTCTGATTTAAGAAAAGTGTTATTTGCCCCTCTCTAAAAACAAATACTGTAGAAAAACTGAATCTTTGAGACAGTACATTCTCAACTATATAATGTTAAATGCCTTGTTTTTAATGTCACTTTTGAAATGTATTGTATACACTGGCAATGATTATATGAAGATTTTATTTTGATTCTAGAAATTTTTTTAAACTTGTAGATTATATATTGCTATTGAATTTATCCACATGAAAATACAGTATTTTATTGTTTCTCTTTGTAATTGTTAACTATATCATGTAAAGAAATTGTGTATTACTCAAAACAGATCTTGTATAAAAATGTTAAATGTTTTTCTAAAGTAATATTATGATGAATGAATTAATAATAATAATTAAAATTCTGTTTACTCACATAAAATAATCTGTCAATAAATCATCTTTATTATTAAATAAGATATTTTCAAAAGGAAAAGGATCTAATTTCTTTCTTCTGTTTTCAAAGTTATACAAAATATAATCAATATTCTTTTTGTCAAAAGATTCTAAAACTACTGCTTCAGGAATTTGGTATTCACTGTCTGAATAAAAGAAAAATATCTTTTAATTATATTATTATTATAACTTCAATTCTTCTACTCTAAAAATATTATAGAGTACTATAATTGAATTCTAAGCAAATTATTATTTATGTAAAATTTATGAATTAATAACAATAAATTACAACTTATTAATTTATATAATCTTTTGTAATATATTCTATATCTTAAGTATAAATATAAAATACAAGTATAAAATATATACATAAATTTATAGATGAAACAATGACAGAAAGATATACTGACACTAGATGAGAACCAATTTAAAAAAATATGAATTTTGATTCTCTCATGGCCAAAGATATTTTTGTCTCAACTTAGCTTCTTTGGATGGAAATACTTATATTAAACAATACACTTATTATTTATTTATTAAAAGTTTATCATAACATATTATATCTAATAAATGCAAATATATTAATGTATATTTTGAAAATAATGTTAAATATACATTATAATGGAGTAAATAATATGCTACATTCAATAACATTATATCAAATAACCTTTCATTTCCTTATTATTATAATTTATTCATTTATTAAAAAGCAGCAAGGGCTCTTGCATGACTTNCAATCTAAAAAGGGTGAGCAGAAGGCAAAAGTAGACTACAATCCTACAAATCATCCATTCAGCAACTTTCTCCACATCTTCCTGTCCAACACACTAATGCCTCTTCTAGCATACTATACATTCTCTTTCTGACTCAACACCTTATGTTTTTTTCAGATAATCATTCACTTGTTCCAACAAAGACTTTCTAAGCCTTTCCCTTTTCACCTTTTCCATCTGAACTCCTTCAACAATTCTCCTTTCATTCTCTCAGATATATTAATATAGTTTTTGTAATAAGCTTAAAAAGTTTTCTTAAATTTTATTGTGTATTATAATTGCTATCCTCTAATCACTTTAATTCTTATAAGTTGATTTTTCTCACAGCAAACAGTCTTGGTTAAATGACGAATGATTTTATTGTGACATATTTAAAACACTTACAACAATTTGTTGTAATATTATGTCATGATTTATTGTAATTTTGTTTCTTAAATAGCACTGAAGAGGGGCTAAAACGTAACATTAGCCCAAAATGCATTTGTTGTAAGTGTTTTAAATATGTCACAATAAAATCATTCGTCATTTAACCAAGACTGTTTGCTGTGAGAAAAATCAACTTATAAGAATTAAAGTGATTAGAGGATAGCAATTATAATACACAATAAAATTTAAGAAAACTTTTTAAGCTTATTACAAAAACTATATTAATATATCTGAGAGAATGAAAGGAGAATTGTTGAAGGAGTTCAGATGGAAAAGGTGAAAAGGGAAAGGCTTAGAAAGTCTTTGTTGGAACAAGTGAATGATTATCTGAAAAAAACATAAGGTGTTGAGTCAGAAAGAGAATGTATAGTATGCTAGAAGAGGCATTAGTGTGTTGGACAGGAAGATGTGGAGAAAGTTGCTGAATGGATGATTTGTAGGATTGTAGTCTACTTTTGCCTTCTGCTCACCCTTTTTAGATTGTGAGCATGAAAATATGCATGTACGGTATGTAATATTAATTAATAAATCTATACAGAGAACTTGCTTTGCAATAAATTACACATTTTTTTTGTTTTTTTAATAAAAGTTATTAACAATCTATATAAAAATGATTTCTTTGTATTGATTAATTATCAAATTACATATCTGACTAGCTGAATTATTAAACTGACTAAGATGCCAGAGTTTGTTAAATTTATGATCACTTACATTACATATAAAAATTGTATAATATTATTATTATAATATATATAATCCTATTATTTCATAATTTAACTGAATGAATTATTGATTGCTAATTAAATTAGATGAGAGTTATGCCAAACTATCAAAATTGACATTTTTTTCTATCTAAGCCTGAATTTTAATATATTATACTTTATTTTAGAAAGTAGAATAAATTTAAAATAGATAAAAATGAAACATTGCAATCATTCATAATCATGATCTATGCTTTATATTCATTAAATTATTGGATTAAAACTCACACGAAGAAACAATAATTCATATTAATGGTTTTAATCATGATAGAAATATTGTGATTGAAGCTATATTATCATTCTTTGATAATAGATTTACTAGACCTGGGATTTTAACCGTTTTTGCTTCATAGATCCATTTTCCAGTCATACGAAGGTCATGGACCACTTCTTGGCATAATGTTTTTAATTAATTAAATGAATAAAATAAACTAGTTACACAGGAATACATTCGTACCTCGTACATCGAACGTTAAATTTGACAAAAAAATCGCTTCAGAGTTCGAATGATGCTTCGAAGTTCGAACTACGCGTCAGATCTGCCAGACTTGGCTACTTTGCGCCAAATTTGGCAACTTCTTTTTAGTTTGGCGTAAAAAAAAATATCATTTGGCGCATTGGCTACTTTATGGGCTATATGAATTTGATTTGGCTGCATATTTATTTATATTTTTATAATTATTTATCATAAAAAGACAAAAGTTAATCCACTTCTAAGTAAAAATTGAAAGTGTGTGAAAGTAATTTTTTAAAATATCCTTTTTCGTGATAAAGTTTTAATACTTATTACTATAATATAGACATGTTAACCCTTAAATAACAATAGGCAAATTAGTATTGTTCTTCTACTGTTTGAAAGGACTTATCAAACCACAGTTATTTAATTTGAAAGTTGACTAAGGGATTTCTTTATTAACCTAATATGTGCATTTTGGGTTCGTCAATATCCTTCATCAGTTGGGTTTTTGTTTTTCTGTTTTAAACGTACCATTGACTGCTTTTTATTTTGAAACCTACTTAGTCAAGAGTAACTTCTAAATGAAAATATACTCTATTTGAAATTATAAAAGAAATTCTGTGGCTCGAACTCGAAGTAACGTGCAATTTACAGCACGTAGATAGCATGAAATTTATACAATAACCTTGGAACTAAGGATCCAAAATGGCGGCTCCACAGGGAACATTGGTGTCCTGACTTTGTGTTTATAAACTTGATTTACTGGCTTTACGTGTAGCGCCATCTATTGGCAAAAAATTTAAAAAATAATAAAAATACAAAATTTTATACAAAAATGAATATACAGTAAATTACAAATATTATATTCATTTAATTACTGTGTCGGGTAGCGCATAGTACACCCCTGCGTGGAGGAGTCGAAAATAATGCAATGTGAAATGTAATGTAAATGTAAAGTAATGTGAAAACTATATAAGTACGGGTATCCCTCCTACAACACGGTTTCGCTCCTACAACACGGTTTGAAAATTGGGAATATCCCCCGTACAACACGATTTCAGGTTTCGTTCTAACGCGGTTTTGGGTATCCTCTGTAAAAAATTTCACAATTTTAAGTGTAAACTTTGTTATTCGATATTTTTTAAATTTAAGTAAGCACGCGTGTCCTCTCAAATTTGCTCACGGATGTTGAAATTTTCAAATTATTTTGTGCTTTTTGTCAGGTTTACTTTAATGAAAACTGATAGAACAACGAAGAAAAAAATTGCACTAACTTTCCTATCAAACAGGTATTGTTGTCGTTGATTTCATACTAGAGAGCCTGTAATGAGAGAGTGGCTATATTAGTAACGCTTTTCTATTAGCAGTTTGTAATCACATGACTTTAAGCCGCCATTATTCTTCCAAACAACGTGTTAGCAAGATTGGAAGGAGAGCTTCACGGATAAATTTTATCGTCTATACGTTTTTTGTCTGCAAACAAGTTAAAATTAATCAAAGGTTAGTGATATTAAGAATATATAGACAATATTTCGACTGTTTACTTGTATTAATCTTAAGTTTTTGAGTTTTATGCGAGTTGTTATTGACTGATTGTACTGATATATTTAAGTAAGAAGTTATAGTTTAGTTTAACTTATTTTACACTTTAATAATTCTTAGAGTATGAATGGATGTGACTGAATTATTCTGTGTTGAGTCAACTTGAATAGAATAATATTTTGCTTAAGATCTTAACTTCACGACTAATTCTTTCTTGTATCATATGCTTCATAATTTGGATTAACATGTTAATAGTTGTCTGGTATGTAATAAGTCCACCACGGTCTTTATATACAGGTCTGCTACCAATACTGTATCTGTTAAAAAAAAAGATTATTATTAGTTTACAAATAGAAGTATAAACTTATAATACACAATTCTTCTTATTTGTAGGGGTGCTGTATTAATATTGCTAATCACTTTAATTCTTATAGGTTGATTTTTTTTCACAGCAAACAGTCTTGGTTAAATGACGAATGATTTTATTGTGACATATTTAAAACACTTACAACAATTTGTTGTAATATTATGTCATGATTTATTGTAATTTTGTTTCTTAAATAGCACTGAAGAGGGGCTAAAACGTAACATTAGCCCAAAATGCATTTGTTGTAAGTGTTTTAAATATGTCACAATAAAATCATTCGTCATTTAACCAAGACTGTTTGCTGTGAGAAAAATCAACTTATAAGAATTAAAGTGATTAGAGGATAGCAATTATAATACACAATAAAATTTAAGAAAACTTTTTAAGCTTATTACAAAAACTATATTAATATATCTGAGAGAATGAAAGGAGAATTGTTGAAGGAGTTCAGATGGAAAAGGTGAAAAGGGAAAGGCTTAGAAAGTCTTTGTTGGAACAAGTGAATGATTATCTGAAAAAAACATAAGGTGTTGAGTCAGAAAGAGAATGTATAGTATGCTAGAAGAGGCATTAGTGTGTTGGACAGGAAGATGTGGAGAAAGTTGCTGAATGGATGATTTGTAGGATTGTAGTCTACTTTTGCCTTCTGCTCACCCTTTTTAGATTGTGAGCATGAAAATATGCATGTACGGTATGTAATATTAATTAATAAATCTATACAGAGAACTTGCTTTGCAATAAATTACACATTTTTTTTGTTTTTTTAATAAAAGTTATTAACAATCTATATAAAAATGATTTCTTTGTATTGATTAATTATCAAATTACATATCTGACTAGCTGAATTATTAAACTGACTAAGATGCCAGAGTTTGTTAAATTTATGNAAACTTATACTGTTTGAAAAAAAAAAATGGATATAGTTCACATAAAGCTGTAACTTTTTAGAAAGATAAATAGCATTTCTAATTAAAGAAAACAAGAATAAATTAACAGTTTCCATTATTTTTTAATTAAAATTAACAGTTAGTTCATTGTAATTTTTAATGATATTTGTACTTTTTCATTATAAAAGTTTTAGATTTATATGAATAGTTAAATTTCATTCAACTAAATCATTAGTTGCTATAGAAGAAACTTAACAGTAATGTGAAGATCATTTAAAATAAATGTAAAATGCTTTATAGGAAATGAGAAGAAAGTTTTATAAGAATTTGTTTAAAAAGTGTTGAGACAGCCAGAACAACTTACATTATGCAAGGTAAAAAAGAAAAATATATATTAGGAAATTAGATAATGTAGATGAAATTGTCTATGATATAATAACTGCAGTCTTCTAACTGTAACACTGTGTTGAGTAATAACTGTCCACAAAAAAACCTTTATCAGTGTTGTGTTCGTTATAATATCTATCCACTAACGTTTTCGATCTCCACAGAGGTATTCTTCAGGAGCTGACTAAGTGTTGTCTCTCCTTGACCATTAGAACGATGTCGTCCAAGATGTAAATATTGCACGTATCACATTTCACCCCTCCACTTGTCCCCATTTGAGTTCCTCGAATAGATAGATAGCTCCATACCTGCATGATCATCTCTTTGTCTTTAAAGTTGATACAGGTGCCCCCAACGTTGGCTTTATAGATCTCTCAGGCCTCCAGGTGAAGTTGTGATCAATTTGAAATGCCTGTCTGATTAATTTGGTGTTCGGGAAGTCCGCCTGAATTTCAGGGTCGCTAATGTACACCGTCAAGGCGATGGTGTGCCTGTTATTGTAACGAACACAACACTGATAAAGGTTTTTTGTAGACAGTTAGTAACTACAGTTCTTGTAATTTCATATTTATCAGTATTGATCATATTTTTAGAAAAAGATTAAGTGAAAACATATTTATATATCTATTTATCTTTGCTAATTTCATAATAAAAAATAAATGAATAAACACACTCATTCAAATGAATATGTTTTTTCTCAAAGCATTTTTAATTTAAAATATTTTTAGAGACATTTTTCATTTTACTAACAGCAAATTAAATATGATGAGAAAGAAATAAACAAGACTTCAAAAAATTTAAGATGTTCGATTTCTGTAAACATACATTTAAATGACTAAATTATTTATTTTAAAACAAATTTAATTTTGAATTTTAGCTAAAATGTTTCGATTTAAAGGAATGTAAAGGCATTTATAATAACTGTGCAAGTTTATTGATCACAGCTTTGGAATTTTATTACATTAGATTTTCTAATTAATAAAAGTGAAAAATTTTCTTCTTAAACTATATAATTATTTGTGAATTTTTTATAACAACTGTAATAAATTTATTAAAATTATTAATCTTTTATATTTCTGTAATGACTTGATTCATCATATATAATTTTGATTTTTGATTAATGTTTAATAAAAAATAACTTAATTTGAATTTTTATTCATTCTATATTTAGTTTACTTTTATTTCTTATCAGTATAAGGTGTTGTCAAATTAAATATAATGTTAGAAAGATTTATAGACAAAAAAGATTGTAAATTCCTTTATTCCTGTTTAAAGCAACTTCAAAAGTGCAAAATTATGCTTTTGATTTTTATTTTATACCAGTGTAATATCTGTTATATAATTTTATAATTTCTAAACTATTCTTGAAAACATTTTTTTAAACAAAATTATTTTAAGATTTGAATTTATTGTTGAGGATGTAATGATTTTTATTCTTTATCTTACAAAAAGATGCAGATTTATATGAAATAGCATTTCTTGAGTTTTTATGTAAATAAATATTTGCATAAATTAAGATCAATTATACTGTAAAAGTATATTGAAATTTATGATGAATGCATTCCACAAATACATAAATCTTCATTGTTAAAGTTTTTTGGCTTGTTTTATGCAAATAAATTTTAACTTGCAATTAAAATTTATTTGTGTAAGTCATGTTACAAATTTGATGATAGTGTCTTTTTATAATTAACATAAAATAGATAAAAATGAAACATTGCAATCATTCATAATCATGATCTATGCTTTATATTCATTAAATTATTGGATTAAAACTCACACGAAGAAACAATAATTCATATTAATGGTTTTAATCATGATAGAAATATTGTGATTGAAGCTATATTATCATTCTTTGATAATACATTTACTAGACCTGGGATTTTAACCGTTTTTGCTTCATAGATCCATTTTCCAGTCATACGAAGGTCATGGATCACTTCTTGGCATAATGTTTTTAATTAATTAAATGAATAAAAGAAACTAGTTACACAGGAATACATTCGTACCTCGTACATCGAACGTTAAATTTGACAAAAAAATCGCTTCAGAGTTCGAATGATGCTTCGAAGTTCGAACTACGCGTCAGATCTGCCAGACTTGGCTACTTTGCGCCAAATTTGGCAACTTCTTTTTAGTTTGGCGTAAAAAAAATATCATTTGGCGCATTGGCTACTTTATGGGCTATATGAATTTGATTTGGCTGCATATTTATTTATATTTTTATAATTATTTATCATAAAAAGACAAAAGTTAATCCACTTCTAAGTAAAAATTGAAAGTGTGTGAAAGTAATTTTTTAAAATATCCTTTTTCGTGATAAAGTTTTAATACTTATTACTATAATATAGACATGTTAACCCTTAAATAACAATAGGCAAATTAGTATTGTTCTTCTACTGTTTGAAAGGACTTATCAAACCAGTTATTTAATTTGAAAGTTGACTAAGGGATTTCTTTATTAACCTAATATGTGCATTTTGGGTTCGTCAATATCCTTCATCAGTTGGGTTTTTGTTTTTCTGTTTTAAACGTACCATTGACTGCTTTTTATTTTGAAACCTACTTAGTCAAGAGTAACTTCTAAATGAAAAAATACTCTATTTGAAATTATAAAAGGAATTCTGTGGCTCTAACTCGAAGGAACGTGCAGTTTACAGCACGTAGATAGCATGAAATCTATACAATAACCTTGGAACTAAGGATCCAAAATGGCGGCTCCACAGGGAACATTAGTGTCCTGACCTTATGTTTATAAACTTGATTTACTGGCTTTACATGTAGCGCCATCTTTTGGCAAAAAATTTTATAAATAATAAAAATACAAATTTTATACAAAAATGGATATACAGTAAATTAAATATTATATCCATTTAATTACTGTGTCGGGTAGCGCATAGTACACCCCTGCGTGGAGGAGTCGAAAATAATGCAATGTGAAATGTAATGTAAATGTAAAGTAATGTGAAAACTATATAAGTACGGGTATCCCTCCTACAACACGGTTTCGCTCCTACAACACGGTTTGAAAATTGGGAATATCCCCCGTACAACACGATTTCAGGTTTCGTTCTAACGCGGTTTTGGGTATCCTCTGTAAAAAATTTCACAATTTTAAGTGTAAACTTTGTTATTCGATATTTTTTAAATTTAAGTAAGCACGCGTGTCCTCTCAAATTTGCTCACGGATGTTGAAATTTTCAAATTATTTTGTGCTTTTTGTCAGGTTTACTTTAATGAAAACTGATAGAACAACGAAGAAAAAAATTGCACTAACTTTCCTATCAAACAGGTATTGTTGTCGTTGATTTCATACTAGAGAGCCTGTAATGAGAGAGTGGCTATATAAGTAACGCTTTTCTATTAGCAGTTTGTAATCACATGACTTTAAGCCGCCATTATTCTTCCAAACAACGTGTTAGCAAGATTGGAAGGAGAGCTTCACGGATAAATTTTATCGTCTATACGTTTTTTGTCTGCAAACAAGTTAAAATTAATCAAAGGTTAGTGATATTAAGAATATATAGACAATATTTCGACTGTTTACTTGTATTAATCTTAAGTTTTTGAGTTTTATGCGAGTTGTTATTGACTGATTGTACTGATATATTTAAGTAAGAAGTTATAGTTTAGTTTAACTTATTTTACACTTTAATAATTCTTAGAGTATGAATGGATGTGACTGAATTATTCTGTGTTGAGTCAACTTGAATAGAATAATATTTTGCTTAAGATCTTAACTTCACGACTAATTCTTTCTTGTATCATATGCTTCATAATTTGGATTAACATGTTAATAGTTGTCTGGTATGTAATAAGTCCACCACGGTCTTTACTTTGAGCCTTTCTTTGTTGTTGTATTCGTTTGATTTTTTGTGTAGACTTGTTTTGTACTGCAAAAATGTGAGCTGTCGTAATGGTGTCATCAACTGCACTGTATATAAAAATTGCCATGATTCAGAATCGTATTATCCAGAGTGTAGGCCGATTCATTTCATATAATTTCATCATTAAACAATTTTGATAAAAATTAAACCATTAATTTGTAAAAAAAAAGGGCTGGCGAATTTACACTTTAATAAAAAAAAATACATAAAAGAGACTAAAAATGGCTTCACTTTCGCCATGTCCAAGGCTCTGCTGTGAAGGACTGTTGTTCCTGGTGATTGGACATGGCGAAAGTGAAGACATTTTTAGTCTCTTTTACGTATTTTTTATTAAACCATTCAATTCCAAATGGGTATTCTGCAACTAAAGGGTGTTTTTTTAGAGATATACAAATTTAAAATGAAATAAAACAGGTAAATAATGTTAATGGCCATGGTATTGGCTTTATTTAAAAGATAATTTTATGCCACTAGTGTTTAAACATACCGACGAAACAGTGTTGCCAGAGGTTTGGTTTTTGAATTGTCAACACTGTTTCTAATTCAATTTAAATTTAGTGACTGTCAATTGACAGTTGACAGTTGATTTGTGGTCAGTACGTTTTGCCATTTCACCCTGAATAGACTTACGCCATTAAAAGTCACTGTTTGGTGTGCTTTATGGGCTGGTGGAATCATTGGCCCATATTTCTTTAAAGATAATGCCAGAATGTTATCGTCAATGGAGAGCACTATAGAGTAGTGATGTAACGAATATTCGGTTACTATTCGATATTCGGCCTATTCGGCCGAATACCGAATATTACATCAATATATGACCTAATATCACATCAGCTGGCAGAAGCGACAGTAAGCCGGTATTATAGAACTTTCACATATCTATTACCGAGGCCAGATGCCCGAGCGGTCTAGGTGGCAGCCCCCTGCTCTAGGGGACCTGGGCTCAAATCCAGGCGGGTCGATAACTCGCCAGGAATTTTTCGGGGTTGGGTGGTCTCTCCGGATATATCGGACCCTGTCCCTCACCACCACTGTGGGTTTGGCTGAACCCATAATGAACTTGTGAAAAGTGGCCGGTCCACAGTGTGAAGTCAGGAAAAAAAATCTATTACCGTGTTATTGGAGTTGAAATTTTGAAGTTGTCTTTCCTGCCCCACGGAGGAGGATTGGCCAGGTTTTATTTTTACGGAATTAAAAACCAGTCAAAGATATTAAACTTTTATTCGCGTAGATTTTTCTATTAGATGCATATTTTCTGAGTTGTAACATCTTATGTGAAACACCCTGTACCTGTACATACATATGTAGGGGCCGAGGGGGGGAATTTAAAAAACTCGACGAACGACAATAGGCGATATATGTCGTCGTCGTCTCCCTTGCCGTTTGGATTGCCGAGCGGTAACAATCAACGATATGTGGAAGCAGTTGAGTCAGAGATTGATGCTTCGTTTACAAACAACACAACCGTTTATTAAACACGAAGGAAGCTTACAAGATGTCCGCGATCTTGGTAGTTCTGCGGCGGCTGTGGCCTCTGGGTCTTCCTCCCCTTTCCAAGATCGTCCCATTTTGAAGTAGTGTCCCTTGTTCGCGAATGAACCATTCCATCACGTCTCGATGACTCCGGGACGATGCGGTCGAATTCCGTTGATGGAAAGATGTCGATCCGAGGTCGGGAGATGGAGACGAAGATGGGTGCGAGACACACACACAACAACAACAGATCCGTCACTTGGAACTTTCGGGAGAAGAAACCGTCGCGTCCTCGAATTTCCGGGGTTTTATCTGTTTTCTCTCAGATTCCCCTTTCCGATTGATCTCTCCTCGTCACCTGATGACAATTCGAAACCTTTCGGGGGCGCGGGAGAGGTCAAAATCGAAGTTTAATTCGATCTCCAACCGGAAATGGTCGACGGACTTACATTCTTCTATTGTTTAAAAGTTAGCGTCGCGTTTTCATAAAATAAAATCTATTTCTAACTACTATATTATTTTCTCTAAAACAATTATTTTAACGCGAATTTTAGTGAGGGTTCGGACCTGTCCAGAGCCTCACACATATATAACGAAATTCCTAATAGAAATGTTTTATGTTTCATTGGAATACCACAATAAATAAATAAATCACTAAAATTGAACAAGAAAAATTAATAATAGGAAATTCAGTTTAAAAATGAATAACAATTTAAGGGTATAAATAAAATAAAATAAAAATTTTCTTCCAAAACTCCGAAATTTAATAAAATAAAAAAAAATACCGAATAGCTAATTAATTCTATTTAAAAACTTTGAAAATATATTGGTATTTGTCAGTGACATCCGCGTCTTTTCTACATTTTATTCTTAAAATTTAAACACTTATTAAGAGCTTCTCGTTCTATTTTTTTTTTTAATTTTGGGAACGTTTATTTAGAAAACATTCATTATTTTTTCTGGTTTATAACAACTCTTCAAATAATACAGAAATAGAAGAAGGAGAAGACCGACACTATGTTATTCTGATGGTGACGCTTTGACAAGACTTTATTGTAATTGTAATTTTCAAACGTAAGATAGGTCTAAATTTCTGTGGATTTGAATTTATTATTTTTACGGTATTTTGCACACATTTTTATATGTAAAACTTTTTCGACATATCTGTAATGTTTTAAATTTTTTTTTGTTTATTAGTTTAAAACATTGTGTAAGTTTTAATTATGTTTAATTAATTATAATTTCATGATTACATATCGAATGAAAAAAAGTAATGTCGTACTTATAAAAATATGAAAAAAGATTTAAGATATAGATTTGTTCAAAGTCGATTCAAATTCAGAACAACTAATTTTCTAAAAAATATTATAGTTTAAATTAAACTTACGTTTCTTTTTCAATCATCGCTTGAAATGTTAATGACGATTCATTATTCATTGATTCTTCATCTATATCTAATGGAACTGATTGCACTATATAAAAAGTTTGAAAAAATTGTATATTAATCATGATTTTTGTAACTTAATTAATTGTTTGTTTAGTTATGACAGCGCAACACTTGGGCGATCTGCCTAGGGGAGAATGCCTTCCGGGAGATATTTTTAAGGGAAAATGGCCCTTATTTATGCGTTACACACGTGGAGAAAACCCGGAAGACTCCAGCGAGGCGCGAACCCACAGTGTTCAGGGAATGAAGACCGCTTGGCCACTGGTGTGCCGACTTAATTAATTACGGGCGGCCATCAATTTTCAGATAACTCTCGTACATAACATTTTGATACCCCTAAATCATTTTTCGTATGCCAAATCCGCAGTTTCGTACGTTTTCGATTGACAAGACAAAAATCTGAGCTTCTAGTTTCGATCACGAACTATGATTCGGACCCGACACTTCGGCAAACTCGCTTTTCTGTCGTTACGAGAAGGCGCTCGAGTTTACGCTCAATATGGCAAAGGGTCACACGTAGAGGTGTGGGTCCTTTGACTTTTTTGCTCCTATGGGTATGCTCTACAACTCTGTTAAGGTCCCAACCGTCTCATTAGGGGCTTGAATTGAGTCAATCTAAACTTACGTTAAGGTGGAATTTAAGCAGTGGCGTAACGTAGTGGGGGCGGCAGGGGCGGCAAAATTTCACAATAAATAATAACAATATCTTGTAAAAATTTGAACCATTTCATTTCATACTTTTGTCGCATCTACGATTCGGACCGATTGAACTGAGCACGGAAGTTTTCATTACTTATTCTGTGACGAAACTGAATTTTAGTCTTTTAAATTGAGATACCTAAATAAGGGGGGCGANGAACTTTTTATGAATAATATCTGTAACAAAGTATAAATTTTCTGTTATTTATTATCTGTGCACGTAAATTTAAAACACTAATCGCACTATTAAAATGATCTATTGTGTATGATTTGGTTCAGAGGTACATAAAGATCAAGTATGAAGTTAAAATTCGTTCAAAAAAAATAAATAATCGTAGGTAATTTATTAAGTAAAAGTAAACCATTTTAAAATTATTCCTATAAATTTAAGAAAACGTGCGAGCTAAACTTTATACTGTAATTTCACTTTATACTCACTCAATATTACAACTAAAAAAATAATCTATTTCTGCGTGACTTCGTTCTGACGACCACAAAATATAATCGTCCAGCATTTCCTATTTCGGNTTATTCTCGTAAAAAATAAATTTATCAGATTATAATTATATTGTCATCGATTATGCGGGATCGTTGTTCGTCTGTTTTCTTTATTAATTTCAAAATGGCGGAAGCATTTGAATGATTAAATCTTACGAAAAAGTCGAAAATAAATCGGTGAAAATTTAATTTTAATCCATTTATTTAATATTTCTGCATCGTTTCGTTGAATTAAACGTTTTATTTTGATTAGAATAAGGAATTATTAAGTTATTAAACGTTAAACCTTTTAAAACAAGTCACGAGTCTCGGTAAGACATTAGAAGTTAGACATAAATGTACAGAACGTGTAATATTATTTAAATCATTATTTAACCGCGTATAAACGTACCGGTATACCTGAAGAAACGCCTGAACCAGTGTATGAAGCCAGGTACACATGTACCGGTATACTGGCAGGTTTACATAAACAGGTGCCCCTGTATGGTATACCCGAACGTGTGAATGAAGCCGGGTACACACGTACCGGTATACTGGCAGGTATACCTGAATATAGGCATGCATATTCAGTATATACGTACTGTATACCTGAACAGGTGCGCCTATCCAGTATACTTGAATATATCGATGAAGCCGGGTACACACGTACCGGTATACTGGCATGTTTGCACGAACAGGTGCCTGTGTAGGATATACCTGAACTCGTGAATGAAGCTTGCTCGGGATACGGTTGGGTGTGCCTGATATACTGGTACTGTACGTACCGTATACCTGAACAGGAGCACCTATCCGGTATAATTGATCGTTTGGATGACAGAACTGTTTTTATTTTTATCCACACGTTCGGGTATACCGGTACGTGTATACCCAGCTTTACTTCTGGTACATATTTTAGTTTTAAAAAGTTGGTATTTATCGATTATATAACTCAAATAACGTATAAATAAAAACATTAAAATTCCAAATTATAAAAAATATTTTTCCTGAGAATATCGATCGGTATAGTAAATCTTAGACAATTTCCTTCAAAAATGTTGCCAAAATAAAGATTAAAAAAAAAGAAAACTTTAAAAAATAGTATAAAATATTTAAATGTAACTCTTATATTATTGAAGATTTCTTAAAATGAAAAATTAATCTTTAAATTTCTTATTTTTCTTTTCGAGTAGCAAATTTTGTGATTACTTGAATCAGTTCCAATAAAATCTTGAAAGCTATTGAAGTTATCGCTATTGATTTTGTGCAGAACTCTGAATAATGTAAGCATATAATAGACTTGTTTAATAGAACTAGACGTAATTAAATACTTTGGATCAAATGCAAATGTATACAGAGTATATATGTTTGTTTAGTAAGGCCGTCAAAAGCTTAGAATAAGGCCCGGGGATAAAGCGGACCCCTCATTTTTTAAATAAATGTAATACATAACATGTTTCTTTATTCATAAATAGCAATTTTAAAGATTTTTTGTTTGTAAAATTAAACATTAATTTATAGTGATAGAACCACTAAGAGCCCTTAAGTTTCAGTCCCCTCTTTATTGTTTATGTACCTGTATATTTATTATTTATGTGTATTATCTATGTATGTGTATATNGTGACGAAACTGAATTTTAGTCTTTTAAATTGAGATACCTAAATAAGGGGGGCGAAATTTTCCTCCGCCCCGGGCGGCTGACACCCACGCTACGCCATTGAATGTCAGATTTAAACGTTTTTAACAATGTTTTATGCATTGTAACATGTTTAACATAAAAAAGAAAAATTTTGCTACCATTAGCGATTTAGTAGTTTCAATGGATAATTGTAGCTAATATACACCAACACTAATCACAAAAGGGATAAAAATGTGTACTTTAACACTAATTAGAGAGAGGAATAAATTTAAAAATAACTGACGAGTATTTCAAAAGAAAGAAAGAAATAGCAAAAAAAAGAAAAAAGTCGAACTAATTCGAATTAATTTTAAAAATTGCGTCACTAAGAACATCTGTTCGCACTTACATACAACTCAACGGTTATTTCAATGTGAGATTTTATAATTTTTAATTTCAGTTCCCTGAGAACGGAATGCCCTTCGTAACATGCAGCTTCATTGTTCGATTTTCATCACTGGCATATCGGAAAAATTTAGCTACACCACCGAAAAGCAAAAGCTTCTTGATATATATACACACACAAGTACAGTGCATATATGTATATGTACTGTACTTATATACAATATATGTAGGAATTTTTCACCGTAGGTGCCAAATTTTGTCGCTACGCAACTGTTTGTTTCCGTTAATGTGCCAAATGTATAAAGTTTTAAATTATTTTTTCGAACTATCTTGAATGCATCTACAATATTTTAAATTTATTATTATTATTGACGTAATAAATAAAATAAAAATTATTGGTATCTTTCGAGCAATTGGTGCCTATGGCAAGGCCGCGCTCACCGGAGTGCCCACACTGCACCAGAATGTCACGTCATGGAATAATCTAACCGCCCACTTTTACTTTCTTAACATTACTGTATAACTTTTAAACATACAGAGTGGTTATAGTTAAATAGAAGGTGTTTTGAACTGTATTCAGAAAGAAGTATTGGACCAAATGAAACTAAATTTGCTGTGCATACTTTCCTGAACATGGATTTCGATTTTGTAAATATGAAAAGCCTAATTTCAAAATTTCCCGATAGGGAAAAATTTGGGGCATACATTGTTGAAATTTGCATGCGGCATATTACGTAATTTATGGAACAACTTTGGGTTTTATAAAGCGTGTTCGATGTTCATTGAATTTATGCTTTATAATAGGAGGATGGAGGGTATATATAGTATAATCATTAGTCTGATTTATTGGTTACTTGAACATTTCTGTGTGCAATTTCACATACAGTGACGGACTTCCCGTTAGGTCCGGGCCTAGGAGCGCAAGAATTCAAAATAAAAGAAATATGCAACAATAGAATAATAAATAAATAATTTTACGTAGAAAGAATTTTTAAAGGAATTGGTGCAAATTAAAAGCTTAACTAGGGGCAAGGTAAGACATATCGCTTGAGTAATATTATTTAAAATATGAATACATTATGAATGAACATGGTAGTAAATATGTGTTTTCAATAGCAGTGTCCTTTGTCCTTTCGATATTTAAAAATCTGTGAAAATACAATTATTGAAAAATTACTATTATAAAATAGAACTATCCTGTGCAAAAGTGGAACTATTAGTTTGAGGGCGCCTGTAGGAGTGCCATATTTCTAAATGCGCTACTGTTGACATGTATAAAATTATTATACGTGACGTGTAAACTATGGAGAGTTAAACTCATGGAATCTGTAATAACCACATTAAATTGCAATAAAATTATTATTTATTTGCAAATAAATAATGATTTACATTACGTATTAACTTCTTTGTATTGCCCATATTTCTTTGACAATCTATCTAATGGCAAATTGTAACGACATTAACAAAACTTTTTATTTGCGAAATCGAAATCCCACGTTCAGGAAAGTATGCAAACCAAATTTAGTTACATTTAGTCCTTTTTACGTAGAGCCCTATACCTCTCCTGTTTAATATACCACCCTGTATATTATGAATTACGATAGATATTATTTGAATATTTTATATTATTCATACTGTAATTTTTGTTGTTTTTAATGCATCTCATATATGCAACTATTTATCTTATACTATTCTACTTAACGAACCTTTGTTAGCTGATATTTTCAACAATATTGATTAAAATTAATTTTAATATAATTTTGTAAGTCAGTACTTTTAATTTAATGTATCTAGTTATTCTTAATTAATATGCTCAAAACAATTAGAGGTATTATGACATCGATTTATTTTATAGCAAAATTAATATGTTCATCTGATTTTGATGCTTTAAGATTTGTCTATGATAATAAATAACTTCATTTTTTTATTTTTCAGATTTATTACTATTTTAACACTTGGTAGTATTATGTGCCCACTAGAAATTAGAAATCACAAGAGAACATTTAAATTCTTTACAGTAAAGTTTAGTAAGTTTTTTATTATTTGTAATTTTACAAACAGCAAAACTATTATTACTTTCCTGTCATGGTGATAGGTCATATTTTGAACCCTCCTTTTTGCATTTCCCCACGTTTCGACACTCCAGAAACCCAAAAATGTAAAAAAAAAAATCATTACAATATTCTATATAGGCGTATGTATGTTCCAGCACCTATTTTGCATTATATCTGAGGACTAGATGAATTTGATTTAATGAAATTTCAAAAATTTTAAAACTTGGTAAGGTTATTTCTATATATGGAGTACTAATGCTATTAAATTTTGGTAATTAAAGGTCTAGAGGGTGGGGAAATAGAGGAATGTGTCATATCTCGAATAGGGTCAGAAAATTTTGTTATTGGCATTTCCTAGTTTTTAAAATTTCATCTTTACACTCAAAATTAAGCCTTTTGCCTTTTTATGATTTATAAAAATTATTTTTTAATAAAATCTCATAACAGATGGCGCTACACACAGTTTTAACTTTGAGCTAGTGTCAATATGTTTTAAACTTAAAAAAGTATATTTTTTTAAATAGGAAAATTATCATAATTCAACAATATCTCTCCTCTTAAGCTCCTCTTATTTAAATTTTATTTCGTAATATAATTGAAAATTATCGGACTTTCATTAACCTTCTGTTCAAGTATCAGGAAATTCGAGTAAACCAAAATCATCGATTCAATTATGATAATTTGGTATGGCAGCATCTCTTAATGTTTTGAGCAGTTTAATTTAATATTGATTAAAAATATAATAATATATCTAATTTATAAACATAGAATGGCAAAACTAAATAATCTAAGTGCCAAAATATACAAATATAGTTTTATTTATTTATTTATTATTATTATTATTATTTGCACAAAAATGATCTAGGCAGTAAGGCCAATGCAGTGCCATATGATTCAAGTGCAGTTGCCTTTCGTTTTAGTTTTAAGTTAGCTTAAAAGTATTATAAGTCATTTTTAAACAGAAAGTGTCGTGGCTGCAAGTGACAAAAGATCTTGATTGGGTTTTCTACAAAAAATAAAAGCGTCAGAGATTAAAGATGAAGAGAACAGAGACGTTTTCAATGCGTAAATAATGACTTTGGAATTAAATCTTTACGCATTTTGTACTATGTGGACTTAGATCATTTCCAACTTTGTCTCGTTTGCGACTGTTTTCTATTGTATTTAGACAAAAATATCCTCTCTGAAGAATTGTCTTATATGTTTATAAAAAGCTTTATGTTTATAGAAATAAACATTTTCTCTATTTGCCATGGACAGAGATGTTTTCCTTTTCCCGAAAAAAAATGCCACTTAGATCGTTTAGTTTTCCAGTCTACAAATATGGATTTAATGACGTTATAATTTACCATGTTTCCAAGGCATTCTATATGAATCGTCATCTAAAATATTTTGATGCGGGTAACTGATAGTCTTTTCTAAAAAGTTCACTTGAGGTAGTAACCTTTCACTAAACAAATTTTGGTGATGGATTGAAATCTAAAAATTATACGTAAATTTTCGATTAATACCAATTATTCATTTTGTATTCTTTAAATATATTTTAAATTTAATATTATTTTATGTCATGTCTACTATACATTGTGCACAGATTTATATATAGAGTATATTACAAAAAAAAATTGTATAATGTAGCGTTAACAGTAAAACCTGTCTAAACACTCTAGAATGGTAGGCTAACTCCTTAACAACTGAACCATCCAGCCGTGAACATAATTTTTGATTGGAACTTATCATTAAAAAACTGTGGTTTTTGGAAGCGTATCCCTCTAACATTTTGTCAGTTTTCAACTGTAACTTGATCAATACTTACGGATTATCCACATAGAACCCAGTAATATTGTTTTCCTTACAAGTTAGACAAGTGTCTAACTTGCAGAGGCACCAACTTAACAAGTTTTACTGTATTTTCATGTAACATGTTCTAAATGTCGTATATCATCAACCTGTTAAATATTATTGAACTATGTTTTTTTTTTAAAACATATCAATATATATTTTTTTATTTTAATAATCTGAATTAAGTATATTTAGTTAACGTTTCGAAAAATAGAATTTAAAATGTAACTTGTTACTTCTTTAAAATAATCTTTTCCTAGAAATCTTGGCATTTCTCGATATTTTTCTCGTCTTGTCGATCTGTAAATTAAAATATTCCAGTTATCTTAAAATTCACACAATTAAAATTAATTTTAAACACAATAAATTATTTTAATAACTGAATAATATTCATAAACATTATTTGAGTGATAATTTTTTGTCACTCATCATTTTTATCGTGATAATTTTTTGTCACGATATATTATCTAGACCATATATCGTTATATATGGTCTAGATAACGATATCTAGACCATATAGAGTCTAGCTGAAAGACCAAAGGAATAATATATAACTATTATATTCAAAGGAATTTAATAATACTGTACAATAGTACGTACAGTATTATTGATTGTTAAATAATTTATACAAGAATTCTATACTTTTAATTTGAAAAATGGTCATACAAATTTGATTAAACATATTTACAGATATATCCATTATGGAACTGGATACATGAAATTTCTGTACATTTGAAAAGTGTTGTTTCTGAACACAGATTTTGAACTGACATTCAAAAGCACAAAATGTCTGTTGACAGAAAGAACTCAATTCTAACTAAAACATTATTCTTATCAGATTTTTTTTTAATCTATGGAGAATATTCTTTATTTAAAATTGTTCAACAACTTTTACATTTAAACTTTATAATTTGTTAAGCAAGATTTGTGAAAATTTCTCTTTCAGAGGTATACAAAACTTAGTTAATTTTATTGTCTCATCTAACTATATTAAATGCATGTGACAAATTCAAAGAATATTCTGACTTATCTTAATTAATTATAAATTTCATCCTTTCTCGATCTTTTTATGAATAATATCTGTAACAAAGTATAAATTTTCTGTTATTTATTATCTGTGCACGTAAATTTAAAACACTAATCGCACTATTAAAATGATCTATTGTGTATGATTTGGTTCAGAGGTACTGTACATAAAGATCAAGTATGAAGTTAAAATTCGTTCAAAAAAAATAAATAATCGTAGTAATTTATTAAGTAAAAGTAAACCATTTTAAAATTATTCCTATAAATTTAAGAAAACATGCGAGCTAAACTTTATACTGTATTTTCACTTTATACTCACTCAATATTACAACTAAAAAAATAATCTATTTCTGCGTGACTTCGTTCTGACGACCACAAAATATAATCGTCCAGCATTTCCTATTTCGGTGGGTTGACGTCATTCAGCTGACCAATCAGCGCGTTGTGCCATCTGGATCTCTAGCCGCACGTTATACACCTGCATTATATAAATAAGCAGTGCCGGCGCTAGAGTTTATGCCGCTCGGGGCAAGACATGCATTTGACGCACCTCATCCCCCTTTTCTAAAACTCTTTCCGCCGTGGGCACTAAGAGGGTCTCTTTTAGCAAGTCCATTATATGCTCGGCCATGCTCAAAATAGAGCAGCCGGCTGGCGAGGGACGGGTTCCGACGTATCCGGACGGGCCACCACCAGAAAAATTCTTGGGGCTTTTCGACCCATAGAGATTCGATTCCGGGCCCCAGAGCTGTAGGCTGACACCTTGACCGCTTGGCCATCCTGGCATCATGGTTCGGAGAGGCATCGTGTTCGATCAGAGGACAGTCATAGTGTATTGTACATTTCCTGTACTCTGACAGTGGACCAGTACGTCACACGAATTGTGGTGCCTGTGGTTCGGTCACTGGTGCAGGCTGCACCCGACGCGGTCTTTCAGCTAGAGTCTAGCTGAAAGACCATGCGTGGTCAGGTATTGTCTAGCTGCTACACGTCGCACGGCGAACTCTTCAGCCTGAACCGAATTGGCATTTTTCCTTGGCCTGCAGCCTCGCCGGATCTCTCTCCCATCGAATACCTGTGAGACCTCGTCTGACGTGAGGTGCACCAGAGACCACTGCCGTATACCGTAGGTGAAATGTATGCTGCAGTGGATTATTAATGGCATACCTCAGGCAGCCATTAATAATCGCCTCATTGATAGTATGCCTCGCCGTATAGCGATCTCTATAGTTGCCCGTTGGAACCGGATTCCTTACTAAATAAACAGATGTCTATTGCATATCTTTGTTCTTTTAATTATTTGTCCGTCACTTCTACCGATCCTGCAATGTGTATGTAGCTACACACATTCCTTCGCGGTATTGCAATTTCATTTTTGAAGAGTGTATGCAATTCACAAAGACCTTCTGATTTAAATGCATGGGGAATATAAGGACAATGGCATCACCTGAGCTAATATCACTACCTGTTTCTAGTTTGATTTAATAACTATTAGAAAAATTTGTTAGTGCTGAACTATATAGCTATGAGATTTGTCAGCTAGACGTAGTTGTTTCCGTTTGTAACCAATGAAATTTATTTTTGTTTTAACATATTTCATGAATTCTTTTTACACTAAATTATTATATTCTTCTTTAAATTCATGTGCGATATATCCAAGCTAAATATATTAAGTGTTCTTCAGTAATTTTATTTATAACAGTTTATAAAATATTTACATTAATTTATTAAAGGTAAAATTTTTGTGTATTGTTTATGTGAAGTTAATAAAAGACTACTGTTGATATTTAAAGATGAATAAAATACTGTTTTATAAAAAATTCTAATAGCAAAATATATTATGTTCAAAATGAAGATACTGTAATAGGAAAAGATTTTGACATACTTCAACATTTATTATTAGTATTTTATCTTTTCTGACGGGTCACTGCGACCACTAAGAGATCCTTTTTCTATATCATTATGGGTTGGACTGAATATATAAGAGTGCCTTTAAAAATAAATAAAATAAGCATTTTACTCATAGTTTGACAAATTTAAAGTACTGTATAAAGATATTTCTAAATTAAGTTTGTCTTTTCTTCGACAACCATTAAACAATTTTTACAGCTATATCTGAGCCTTTAGTTTATGATGAGTAATTTTTAAATACACAAAAAGCATAAATCAGCATTTTGCCAATAATTTAGATAAGTTTAAGTTTCAACGGCCATCAATTCTGAAATTTAACTTAATATATCATTAAATTCACAAAATTTGAAATTATATACAGTAAAACCTGCGTAAACCGGAATCGCACGGTACCAAATACTTTTTCCATTTAGGCAGGTTCCGTTTTATTTAGGTATAGTGTAGGACAGGTTTTACTGTATATCCTAAGAGAGAGTCTAGCCGGTGCCGTCGCGTTGTATTTTTATGTTTTTACTTTATTAATATATAATATTCGACCTTTTGCTTAAATCAATATTTTAAAATGTTTGTGAAACAATGCACTATTTTATGGAATTAAATTATATTTGAGGTGGAGCGTTAGTGCTTTGGTTTTATTGTACGGCAACTCGACACGGGCGAACTGCTGATGAGGAGTGCCTCTCGGGAAATCTTTTATGGGAAATGAGAAACTGGTCCATATTTAGATGTTACTAACGTGAAGAAAGCCAGGAAAACTCCATGTTGCTAGCCCCTTGGCGAGGCACAAACCCACGACCAACTACCACTGTTTAGTGGTTTTATAATGGGCTCCGAAAATAGAACTTTCCAATGATTTTATTATTTTGCTCGGATATTTTTAGTTCTTTTGCTACAGTAATGCTTTGTTGACATGGCTGATTTCTCCATTTCATTTCTTTATTTTTTTCTTCAATATCGCAACATTTAGAAAAGACAAATTTTAACTATATTTAAATTTTACTTTCCCTGCTGTTATATAACAGAGGGGAAAGAATGAAGATCGGCCAAAACATACTCCTCAAGATTTTTACATCTTTGGACTCAGAAAACTTTGAAACGTCGAGAAATGCAGAAAAAGTTGGAGGTTTTTTCTGTATGTACGAATGTTAGTGTGTATGGGAAAGAGGAACAATTTTTTCCACCTATTTTCAGGCTTAATAGTTCTTCTGCCTTTTGTAGAAAAATTCTGAAATTTTGCAGGGAGGTTTTCGTATTAGGGCTAAATGCTTCTAGAAATTTTCAAAAAAATCGACCATTGGTTAAGGAAATATGATGCTTTACTCTCTTATCGTCTCCTAAAGACTTAAAGGTAACGGTAACAATTATTAGAGATGAAAACAAAGAAACAAATAACGAATGCCGGGAAAGTGCAACAACAACAGTGCCAGCTGTTTTTTTTTTGGGGATGTTTAAGTTTTGCTTTACAACTTCTGAAATTTCACTTAAGCATAGGCTATATAAATGTTTTAGAATAAAACTTCCAAAAGCATATATGCTTAGTAAAATTTGTACAGTATATAACAACCTATTATATCCTTTAAAAAATTCTAGCAACGGTACCCTAAATCAGCGATTTTGAACTTATGACTCTTCGAAGCCCCACAAAATTATTAAATAATTTTTATAATAGATAATTATTTGTAATTTCTACATAAATAGACTGATTAACTATTGATATAATACATAAATATTTTTAGTCGGTACGCAAGTAAGTTTACTTTTATTGTCTTTTTTTCATTGTGTACAAAATTATAAAGATATTTTTTTTTTAAAAAAAAACTTGATTAAGCATAACAAAATAATAAGAAAAAAAGAAATATGCTAATAGAATTTTCTTTTCTACACACAAATGGCTTTATACATTTTATTTTGTTGTATAGAAAATATAGAAAAGTCTGGGAAGAAAAAAAAATCTAGAAAATCTGTAACATGAAATTTTCACTTTCCTGCATAGAAACAAAAAAAAATCATTTTCTAGTATGAAATATATTAAATCTGAATATCAAAATTTACTCTCTAATGAACATTTAAAAAAATATTTTAGTCCTTAGAATAACACAATCTGAAAAAGATTTGTAGAATAAATGCTCTATCCAAATACTATGTCATATATCAATTAATCTGCAACTATTTGCTTACAAATATTTATTTATTTTCTTAAAAATTACTCGAGTTTAATTTTTGCGTAAAATTAAAATGGATATTTTGATTTTTAAAGCTCGAATTATGCCTTAATTTTTTCTTCACTGCTTTTAATTTTTTTTTCGTATGACCGACAGAAGTTTGCTGTGAATTATATTTGGCTCGCGTGTAAAAAAAAAAAAAGAAAGGT